TACTACTAATGTTACCAACACTGATGTTACTACAAACATAGCATAGAGGATGATTATAGTTAGAATGTAAAAGGTAAATAAACCAATATCTAATAGCAGGAATGTTTTCAGTGGTAGCAAACACACAGCAGGAGGTTCATTTACAGTACATATCAATTCCCTCTCTTTTTCGGAATTTGGAATCCCAGTATAATTTAACATGCATTTGGTTACAAGAAGATTCTATCCTATAGCATTGGTGTTCTATAAAAGCACAATCTGATTGTGCATTTGGAATATCATATTCAAACACAAATATTGTTCTCATCCTCTATCTGGATCCCCCTACTCCCCCACGCTGTTAGGCAGCTCTCTTAATTCTCTTTTTAACCATGTGATTCTTGTTGTTATGCATCGGTTGTGGACAAAGTTCAAGACTAAAACAGTTATACGTTTATTTTTCACATTGTTCAGATAATGGGCCACCTTTTTACTGTGTAAAGACTACTGCAACTCAACACATTTTAGTCCCACAATGGACACTTTGCACCTCAACAGACCAACTGCTCAGCACTGAATTAGGCCACTAATCATGTGAACTCATATTTGGCAAGAAATCTCCTTGATACATTTGTTCTCTTTCTGGTTGGAACTGTGCCAGAAACATTTCTCCACACTATTGACACAATGTATCCATCCCATTTCTTTCTCCTCAAATCGATCAAGAACAATAAATCCTGTGGGGCAGACAACCCCTGCTAAGAATGGAGGATACTGCAAAATGCAAGCAGCAAAATAAGCATACTGAGCAACTCAAAACATCCAATTTTCTTGTGGAAGACCTCCATAAGGATGTATATTGACAATACCCCCTCAGCTCTCCCAACTCAGTTCCTCCACAATGCACTGGGGCAATCTTGTTTGGTTGTCACCCAAAGCACCAGAGAGCAAAATTAAAGCAGGTGAAGGCAAGAAACAAAGAAGGCAAGGCATCAAGCCCAGATGCTTGTGTACAAAGAACCCAAGGCATGTGCTTACAAGCACTGGATGCCACAGCACAAGCTTGCAATTGTAAAGGGCAACATGGAGATGAAGTGGCATCCAGCAACAAAGGCAAGAAGGGAAGCAACAGAGTTCATCAAAGGCATCAATCCAGACATGGGGTGGAATATCCAAATTGTAATGGATACCTCAGCACCTCCCGCAAAAGCTCCTGAGCCCCCTTGACCAGAAATAATTGACAATCCCTCACTGCATGTCCAATTCATATTGAATCAAGACTGGAAGTGGGTGGAGGATTGGGAATTGGATTGGAAGCCAACACCACACAACAAAGAACTAAATGAGACCTGTGCTGGTTGTTTACAGAAGACCTGCTTGAAAACAAAGATCTTGCAAAGGCCATTGAATTGGCTTGATTCAAAAAGTCACTGCTTCCTCTAGAGATGAGCGTTGGCAATAAACATGAGTGATTCTTTGATATCTATAGGACAGTAATGAAGAGGGAAAGCAACCTAACCCAATGCATTCAGTGTGCAAAAGAATCTGCCTATGATGAGTGTGGTCATCCTTACTACATGGACCAAAGATTTTCCTTCAATTTAGCCGACTACAAGGAGATGAATCATGAGGAGATGGATCGTGAGAACCAGCAACCAAATCAGCAACAGTATCAGCAACAGCATCATCAGCAACCAGCAAAGCAACCAACAAGGCAATTGTATCAGCAACCAACAAATTAACAACAACAAAAAGCAAACATATCAGCAACCGAATGAGGAAATGAAGGAGCAAACCAACAAGCTAACTATCCATATTTAATAATTACTATTTTGTTTATTACAATGCTGATTCTAATGGTCCAACCAATGTGCTTAACTCAGTACTATCTGCAGTTGGTAGAGTTTGTTTGCTGTTAAGAGTAGTGGTGTCTGTATTGCTTGGAAAAACAACAACTTCATCACCAATGCTAGCGGTACTAGCAGTATCTTCCTCATCTTCATCCTTGATATCTAACAAGAATTTCATGTACTCAGTGTTATCTTTCAACTCTTTGTAGCTAGGAGGATTCCATTTACTCCTATCTTTTGCTGTTCTGCCATTCCTTACCTTAGAAGACCAGTCACCTCTTCCAAGACCAAACCATTCAGAATTACAGTAGTTGTTATGGCAATACTTGGTGATTAACTCCCCATTGTAATTCCTTTTTCTATAAGATCCATTCAAACACAAAGGGACTTTGCAGATGCTACACGCTGGATAAGTTCCAGCTCCATGCATGTAACAAAAGCTTTTGTTCCTGGATTTTGTAGGAACCACTGCCATCATATGTCTCTTATATTCAGACTAGGTTAAGCTGAATTTACCATTTTCCTTGTTCTCTGCAATGGTCTGCAAGTTAAGATATGCCAGCAACTTGCCATTCCTAAGGAAAGTCATACATGCTTTCCTTCTAGAAGCCTCCTGCTTGCTCCTTCTTATCTTGCGGTGTGCTTCAGTGAACTGCCTCAGTCTAGTATCACAGTTGTAAGCCTGGTCAATTGGATTGTACCTTATCATCTGCAAGGCAATCCTCTGACAAAACTCACGATAGCTCATCATGTTGCTTACCTTTCATTCATCACCAAGGCTTCAATCAGTACACTCTTTGTAGATATCATATGCTGTACTAGCAATGGCCAAACCTTTTGCATGATTAATCTCAGCATGGTAGTATTTCCACGATTTGTAACCAGTGTTGGCTCTGGAGATGTATGCATTGATATGGTCTAGTTTCCCATAAGAATAAAGATTAACCTTGCAAGACCCATTCATTTCAATGTCCCATTGTTGCTTATCATTCCCCCTTCTCCTTTCCTTCTGGTGAATATACAGAGATGAGGATGAAATAGAGTTCACTGATCCTAAATTGCAAGCTCCAGTGCTTTGGAATGAACAATGCAGTCTCATAAAGGCTTAGGTTCCCTTGTCTGGATCAGCTGGAACAGTCTTCACGGCAGTGGCAGGCTTAGCAAGATGCAGCATCTTGGCTCTTTGTTCATCATTCAAGTCCCCTCCAGCATTCTTCTTATGGAAGTACTTTCAAGGAACCTCTGTGGGTAACCAGACCCTGCAGCATTCTTCTTATGGAAGTACTTGCCAGGAACTTTTGCAGGCAACTGATTCTTAGCAACAGTCCCCATCACCCCCAACCCTTTCTCACCCATCCAATCCAAGATGGGATCTGATAGAAAGAAATTGTCAGCGGTGATATGAAGAGGTGATTTCCAAATCTTCCCAGGTCCAATGTTAGAAGGTCTAAGCCGGCCCTTTCAGTGAAATAATTGGTGTTGTTGATGATAGTCTGGTACTAGATAAAATAAAAAATAAGCAATGTTGCCATTGTTGGGGTCTCCACTAACATGCCTATCTGTGTCATTCTTGCACAGCTTTGTCAAGTTCCATTTAATTTTATACCACCTTGTACAATACATGATAGTAGTGTTTACGATCTCCTCATTGGATGAAAGGTCCTTGGAATCCATCTATACTTGATGTTTTCACTCCCTCCTTCACAAGCACCATTCACAAAAAGGATGCCATCAAACTGAACTGCTACAGGTAAAGTAGCAGGTTTCTCTTGGTGTCCTTCCCCTTCATTTGAATCAGAGATGTAGATWTTGGTATATCTCATCACCTTGTGTAATAAGTATGCTTCTTCTCAGGTTCAATTTGTTAGCACTGAGCTTCTTGCAAATCTGGGGCAACAGGAAGAAGCAGCTGATAGAAGAAGAACACATCTCCATTTTCAATGCGGTCTTTTTGTGAGCCCATGCTACTGGAGCTAGAAGATATCCAGCAGCTTCTTGTCCTTCATCTCATCCAGAATCATGTTATCTCTATTAGCAACCTTCCTTGCAAACTGGTTGTTAGGATCTTCAACACTAACATCCCAGCCTAGCTAATGAAACTGCCACCCTTTTTCCTCCCTGAGAGGATCCTTGCCAAGTCCAGCTACTAAGTGTTTAGAAATTTCAACAGGCTTGCACTCAGAAGGAAGGAAGTGTCCTTTGTACTTCCCAGTACCTGCTTCAAACTTGGGTCTGTAGCAATAGGGGTGCCAACCACCTGGATTATCAACATCATTCCAGTCTTCAGGTTCTCCTTTCTCAACCTAATCCAACAAATCTATGATGGCAAACCACCAATTTTTCAGTTAAAAATAAACTACTGACAGCAGGTTACTGCTATTGCACAGGACATCTTGATAAAGTTAAAAGAACAAGAATCACTAGAAGTGGTTCTTGCTTTGTCAAAAGCAAGGGTCAATAAAAGAACATGATGTCATGTTTTCTTACTAAGTACCACCAGAGGAGGGGTTGTACACAAGAAAAGCATCCAGTGTATTCCTCATACTAGTACTCTCTTTGACATTGATATTCAAGAACAAGAACAACAAACAACAAAACCAGAGAAATGGACTCCTCCTACTAGTAGTAATAGTACTACAATAAGGAAGAAGAACAACAAGAAGAAACATCATTGTTCTTGTTGCCTCTCCTCCTCCTCCTGCTCCTTAGAGGAGGAGTTTGAAAAGCAAATGTTGATTTGAACAAGAATTCCAGCACAAAGACCAAGAATCTGAGGGTTCTCCTTCACCAGAAAGTAACCACACCAAGTTTATTCAAGTGCTGGTGCTGTTAGCGCGAAAATTTTACTGGTGCCGATCAGCACCAGGCACTTGCACTACTACTAGTAGTACTACTAGAAATAATAAAACCTACTGAAGTCAAGAACATCAATTGGGACTGATGTAGTACTACGTCGACCAGAACGAGTGGCGTTGTACGTACGTGTCCTACCGGTACATACGTACGGTACTGTACCGTACTTCCTACTGTAAGTGTTGCCAAAGAATTTTTTTTTTGAGTTCTTCTACTACAAGAACTAGAAAATTTGAGACTACTACCGAATACTGTAAGCGACGTACGTTTTGACTCAGACGAGACGATCACCCTGCTTGTCCACAAACAGATCTTGCACAAGTTGTCAACCATCAACCATCACTCACCTACGAATTCATCAAGAGTATCAAGTCGAGGATGACGAGCGTATGGACTCCTAAGAATAGGCTTCGACTATTCATTCTACTGSTGGCATCGTTTGTCACGGCGTTTCAGCATGGCGGAAGGTCTTGTGCCCCAATCGGGGGATCGCACAGAAGGAATAAAAACGGATGCAGAAAAGAGGCGGAGCGATCCACAAGGGAAAGCAGGACGTCTCTGTTCATGGGAAAGCTCCGAAACAAGCAGGCAGAACTCCAGAGGAAAGCAATGCTAGCGCGGCAGAAAGCAGCCGAAAACGCAGGCTCGTCGTCGTCTGAAGGTGGCGAACGGAAGCTCCGAATGACAGACGACCAACTCAAGGAGATCAACGACCGAAAACGATTCGAAGAGCTCCTCAACGCTAACTCTGCTTCGATCGGCTCTGATAGTGATTCGCTGGACACCTATCTGAGCCAGGAACAAGAGGAGGAAAACATTGATGCATACCGTAAGTGTGTATGTTCTTCTCTTGTCGTTTTTTCCTTCACAGACGCGGCAACGAGTTCCTCCCGAGTACTTTGAATTCTCACAGCTCAGCAACTTCTTTTTTCTTTCTGCCGTGTTTTTTGAACCGATGGTGATTCGTCTCGATCTCATTCTATTCCGTTGGGCAGGCAAGGGGGTGGATCGTAAATTCGAGGGAGACCCGGCACCCGCCGAGCCTTTCGAAGAGCTGGTGTCCATCAAGTCCGAGAACGCCATCGGCGAGGCGGCCGTGAAACGAATGATACCGTGGGTCCGCGACAAATCGGAATATGTCGTTGTGTTAAGCGAGCCGAGGGAGAAGTCGCCCGAGTTCCACAATACCGTGGCTGACCTGTCGAAAGCCTTGCCGAAAGACATTTTTAGCAAGATAATCTTTGTCAACGCCGACACGCCCGCCCAGAACCGAAGGTTTTTGAAAAAGAAGGGGATTTCGGACACTGGCATCCGCTTATATTCCGACGAGAAGAGGGAATGGATGCAATCCTACACGGCCCTTGGTGAAAACCGGTGGAGCATGACCCTTTTTGTGCTGGCGGATGGAAGAGTCCAGCGGCTCGTCCGTGAGTTTTCTCAGATTTCGGCTGCCAATGTGATTCAGAACGCGATAAAGTCGAGTGAGAAACGACGACTGTAGTGATTTTGTTGTTTGGTGGGGTTTGCAGGACTTACGAAACCGAAAACAATACAGGAAATCAATTATTGACAACTGTCTACTAGCGTCTAGAGAGCGAACTTCATACCGTCTGACACGTCGAGGACAAGCACCTTCATTCCTTTTAGGAAAATTACCAGGCCCAGACCTCTTCATCGTGGATCCTCATATCATTTGTGGTGGGGAAGAGTGAAAGCAACTAGGACGAGTTTTACAGAACACGCTAGCTACACACTAAGGGAAATCGATGGCATCGGAATGAGTACACCGTACAGCGCCACCATGATCATCATACTCTCCATTGACTAGCGTTATTCTCAGACGAAAACCGATGGTAAATAATATGAAATCAYCCTAGTTTTTGGCAATTCTTGTATTATTTATTTTATGCTTTTTCCTTGTACGTACGTACCGTACTGATTTACTTGCACTATCACAAGTGCATCCGACATACCGTAGGACGTCGGGGAGGCGATTGAAGAGAATATGACTTCATAYCTTTATGAGGTATGATACATACATACGTAAATACGTTGTAGAATTGTGTAGGTACGTGGAAGCGGTGGCTAGCTACGTGTAATTTGGTTCAGTGCCTGCCACCGTTTGGTTCGTCGCCATCGTCGACAAATAGCAAATCAGAGAACACGGCAACCCGATGCCGTTTTCTTCGTTCACGCGGAAAGACACAGAACTTGTTTCGTTTTCAATGCCGAAAAGAACCGCTTTCTTTTTTCTTCGGAAGCTACCGTACTCGTGCTTGCTGCATTGTAAGTATCATTTATCGGCAGCGATCGCATTCACCCCCAAAAGACCRAAGTCGAGGGTATTTCCATTGTTCAGACAGATCCCGAAGTCATTTTGCAGCAAGAGGAGAGAGAATCAAACGGACCAAACCACGGTGATTTCACGCAAGGATGAGAATGCAACCAACAATGATAATACGATGGCCCGCGATGACGACGAGGCGGCGGAAAAAGGTATCATTTCTTGTGACTCTCTTTTTCCTTTCCGGYATCGAAGCGTGGTGTTTGCTGTCACCACCTTCTTCGTCCCTGGTGCCGACGCAATTGCCGACGGCTACGATGCGGTTTATGTCCCAAAGAAGCGAAGTGTCACATAGCATCGATGCGGACGTGTCGTCGTCGTTCGACAATAGAAATAAAAACGAGGACCGTCCGACCTTCCCCATTGCGAAAATAAAGGTAGAAGACACCGACAACGAAAGCGATAACAAATCCGATCGAACAAGGGAGAACGACGACAAAAACTCAGCTTCGAAGAGGGGCAGCTACAGTGAGGATCACAAAAACTATTTCTCGCTAGAAGAGGCGACACGGGATATATTGGACTCGAATTGTACCGTCGGAAACTGGACTCAGGACGATTGCATCAGAGTCGTCAACATCATTAGCATGTGGTCTAAGCGCAGTTCTGGATCCGGAAAGCCGCATCCCGCCATCCAGCAGGAACGTCTCCTCAGAAGGGTGATCGAAGAAAAGCAGGCGGCGAATTCGTTTGCCCTAGGGTTGAAAACTAGGGACATTTACCACGACATTATTTTCAGCTGGTCTCGGTCGCACGAGCCCGGGAGCGCTAACCGAGCGGAGGAGATCCTCGATGCCATGCAGCACGCCTACAACAGCGGAGAAGATAGGAGCCTGCAGCCCGCAATCGGTGCGTGGAATTCTATCCTCTTTGCCTATGCACACTCCAAATCTAAGGACGCATCGGAGCACGCTATGCGGGTCATCCACAAGCTCTACGGCCTGATAGCGGAGGGGAAGACGGAGGTTCGGCCGAACGACGAATCTTACGCCTTCATTCTGAAGGCCGTCGCCAGTGCGGGCGGAAAAGACGCTCCCCAAAACGTCCTCGACCTGCTGGTCCGGATGGAACGACTTTCCCAGAACGGATTTGCGATTGACGTCTCGTCGAGCTGCCACAACGTTTACCTGTCGTCGCTGGTCGAATCGATGAAAGACCCTAGGGTCCATGCAGCCCAGAATGCACGCCTCGCAGAATCACACTTGCACAAAATGAAGGAACACCCGGACCCGAGTTTGCACCCCGACCGAAAAAGTGAGTATTGTACTCCACAAATTTCTTCGACATGGCGATCGTTTGTCGTTCCTTGTCGTGTCAATCCAATATCTAATATAGTCATATCTCTGCTTGTTTCCCCTTTTTCAGCTTACAATTTAGTACTATCGGGATGGAGCAAGAGTGGAGACCGTGAGCTTGCAACCAAGGCGGAAGCATTGCTGGAAGAGATGGAAGCGTCCGCAGCAGGGGACTCATCTCGCACGGCCCCAAACAAGTACACGTACAACACAATTATCTTTTGTTACACGTGGTCCAATCTACCAGACAAGGGGGACAAGGCACTTGCTGTTCTTGAGAAAATGAAAAGACTCGGAGAAAACAATCCCTTTTGTCGTCCGGATTACACAACGTACAACGCGGTCATGAACTGCATAACGAAGGGCAACCATCCGTCGGCACCGTATCAAGTAGAGGAGCTTTTGAAAGAGATGACGGAAATCTACCAGCGCACCGGAGACTATTCGATGAGACCCCATAATCGTTCGTTCAACGCTTGCGTCAATGCATGGGCTAGATCGAACTCGAGAGAAGCTCCGGAGCGCATCAAATGTTGGATAAGTATCATGCAGGACGACTTTGAATCGGGACGAACAGACGTGATGCCGAATAAGTGGACGTACAACTCCTACCTCCAGGCGCTTGCTAAGCAAAGGAACCCATCCAGTGCCGACAAAGCAGAACGGATTTTGGCTTTGATGGAAGAGAAGAGTCGACAATTTCGCTCAAACAATCTCAAGCCCGACGTCCTGACCTACACGAATGTCCTGCACTGTATTGCACTGAGCGAATCCGGTGATGCATTTCAAAGGGCATACGCCATTCTTTCGAAGATGGAAAGCGGCAACGGTGATGTACGACCAAATGTTTACACTTACAATGTATTGATTAATGTTGTAGCGAAGTCAAAACTCCCGGGGAAAGCYAAAATTGCTATTCAATTGGTAAATAGAATGAAGGAAGTGGCGATTCGACCAATCATTATCACGTACAACAATGCTCTAAACGCCTGTGCGTATTCAGACCCGGAAAAGGACGATCCAAGAGAGGTTCTCCAAGTTGCTACGATGATCCTTAAGGAAGCCCAGGAAACCTGCGGAGCAAACTATATATCCTACAGCACTTATCTCCGTGTGATTCGATACTTTGTGGACGACCGACTCGATCAATGGCGTCTCATTCGGAAAACCTTCCGTCGATGCTGCGAAGATGGGCAGTTGACGCTAACCATCATGAAACAAATTAGATCCGCGCTGAGTGCTCACCAGTACGGTTTGATCGAAAAAGAGGCTACCGACGAACAAACTGGTCGTTGGCACATAGATTATACAAAAAACGCCAAACGACTGAAAACGGAGCCAATGCGAAGGCATCGATCGGCTACGTACAGATAGAGACCACAGCGACCGGGTTTTTCTGATTCCGTCTTACACGAACTGTTTTCAATATTGTACATAAATTGATAGAATAATTATGACTCATCACGAAAAGGATTCAGACATTTATGTGTTTTTCTACGTCGTGAGGATACAATGCTTTGATTCGGTTGTGTTCTTTCCGCGTCTCGTGCTCGAATGTAGACCAGGCCGCAAAGGAATCCATCGAAGGAAAGTTCAGATTATAAAGAGTTTTCGCAGATCTCGATAGCAACTGCGAAACGGAATCGGCGAGATCTAGAGTCGTTCGTGCAATATCGAAATGGTCGGCTCCCAACAGCAACTTCTGCAGCGGCAACAAGTGATACGCAGATACAACCTGGCGAGATATCACTCCTAGTTGCACAGAGTTTGAGAGAGACGAGTCTCTCAGCACCAGTGCGCATATATCCATGTGCAAGATTAATATCGGAATCAGCAGAATGTGGTTTAAGTTTTGTAACTGCTCTCCTGCTTCCTTGTAGAGCTCTAGAGCGGTTTGCTCCAGGGCTTTCACTGTTTCGAATGTTTGGGCGGATGTCGCCGCGGAAGTCAAATGCAAAGAAGCTTCAATCTCTGCTTGCATTTTTTCCAGTTCCTCTGTGGCGAGTTCAATGCGATCCGTCAATGTTTCATCAGCGACTCCCTGAATTGGTGATGGTGGAAGGCTTGAGGCAATCGTTTCCATCTTGTATCTCTCGCCTTTCAGGTGTTTTACGCCAATATCAAATCGGTGCTGCTCCCAGAGTACTTTTCGCCGTGAGGCATGGCTTACGACTCGTGGTAGGTACGAAATGGTCAGGGATTCGCCTGGCTGAACTCGACGAGTAGTGCGGACTTCCGAAAATGTCTTTCCGCCGGTGGGCAAAAACTTGGCACAATTGGGGTAATCGTCATGGTTGAGCATTGCAACGTGTCGATAGACACCTGATTCAAGACCATTGTAGCGCAGCACCAGCAATAACCGTATTATATCAATCTCGGTCAATTCAGTATTATCGCGTGAGCGTATGTGCAGTGTCTTAGATAGCTCCACCAAATCAAGAAGCTCTTGGTCTTTTTCTTTGCTGTTTGGTTCCCCGCTTTCCTCTCCTTTTGCTGATGAAGCAAGTTCCGACTTCAAGAATTGAATCATCTTCGGGATTTGCTCGTACTCGTCGCTGCCGATTTCCATCGTGCCATCTTCGTTTCCATTGTATCTATCCACCTGCTCTTTTGTTGGGTAAAAATCTTCTAGATCATCAACAATCTTGGAGGCATTGGGGTGCTCAATCAAGTGCTTCACCGACACCATTCCAAGTTTTTTTCCAATTTGTTCGTCTGGCCAAGTCATCATAGGGGACTCAACCAAGACCAAAGTACCGGGTGCAATCGGTGTTGTCGCCACATATCCTCGACCACCACCTACAGGAAGAGGTGAAACGAGAAGTATTTCACCCTTGTACATAGGATCGGGCCATTTATTTTCCCATGCTTTCAGGTATGATAAATCTTCCAGCTGACGATCCTGGCAATCGTTGTTATCGTTTCTTTCCGACGATGATACCGGCGTGGATACAATTGCTGTGGACCTACCGGACTCGGATTTGGGGTGAGATATTTTTTCGTTAGTAGCATCCACGAGCGACCTTGCAAATTCCATGGACTCCTTACTTGTCACCACCTGTTCCGCGTCGTTGTCATTGTCGCTGTCGCTGTCGTCGTCGCCGAAGACGTCAAAGGGATCTTCCTCGTCTTCGTCATCCATAGTCCTCGTCTAACCTTTTCAACTGTTTGTACCCAACAGAGTATATTAACAATTATATTTACTGTAAAAAACGATGTCTTTCACTATACAAATGCATCACCGATGCGAATATGTACTCTTGTATCCTGAGTCCTGTTTTTTTCGAGCAAGGGGTGAGATGTGAGAGATATCTCGTTCTGGAATTGGAAAAGAATTGGGCGAGAAATTTTTATGGATGGTTGAAGGGGATTTTGGATTTTGTCGAAGCTAAATTTTTCCCCATCTTTGAAGTAACTAAACTATTGCAAGTACCGGTACGTACGTACTCGTAGTAGTGTCGTTACGGTATGTGAGTGTACTAGACGAGGAAGGCGATAGGCGATCATAAAATGATGGATGGTAGGAGAACGTTAGTACCATGTGTACTCGTACGTACATAACATTTCTTACCTTACAGTACGTGAAATGTGAGGTTCTCATTTCTCATACCGGTACGGAGACGATGATGCTACCGTACTGGTCCGGTACGAGTACCGTATGAAACTATAAAAATACATAGTAACGCCAATACCAATATTAAACATCCGCTTCTTGATTTTGAGAATATGTTAGGTTGCAAACAAACTTCAGACATCTCGATCAAATCCATCCTTAGACGTCGAAGAACACTTCAAAGTTTTGAAATAATTGACACTTCAAATCTTCTGTTGCACCAAATTGAGAGATCTGTATTATTGTATTGGTATTCAACCTAAACTTTTCAAGTCGTCGGCGAAAACACCCTATGTTGGAGAATAACTGTATTCAACAATATTTGTTTTAGTAGCTAAATAGAAAGTTGTTACGYATTGATGTAGTAATACGATGTTTGGTCGAAGACGTCGGTAACTTCTTTAAGACATCGATTCGTCCACTCCTGAGATAGACCCTGGACTGTCACTAGACGCATTAGCAGCAGTTTTGGATTCATGTTCGGTCCTTTCATGCCGGAAAATGTCGTTCAACGCTTCCGGACATCAGAAAGGACGTCATTCATATCAAAAGTGGGGAATGGATGATCAAACAAGCAAGACGCCAGACACAAACACATTTTCTAAACACAGACTTGCCGGATCGAATTTACTCGGCGCTGGCCATCTCGATCAAGGCCGGGGCCAAGGTCTTCTCGGGGAAGTCATCACCAGCAGGGTCGAGCTCACTTTCGGCAACAGCAACGGCTTTGATGATGTTCTTGTCAACAATCATAGCCCATCGCTTGCAACGGCCGATGATTCCGACGGAAATGGGACCGGGGTGGGTCATCTCCATACCGCAGGCTTTGGTGAATTCACCAGAGGCATCCGARAACATTTTGATCATGGAGTCCTCGGTTCCCTGGTCTTTCGCCCATGCCTGTATTGAGATTTTTTTCAACACACAGAATCGTGAAAATTTGAGTTGGCGCTACAAGTTAAAAATTTTTCCAGGAAAGAATTCGGCAGCCTAAACTTACCCCCATAACAGCGGCATCGTTGACGCAGTAAACGATAACTTCATCGATTCCTGCTTCTTTGAGTGCGTCTTGCGATTCCAGGTATCCTGGAACCTGTCGGTTGGATCTGTAGTCAAAACGGAGATTCGAATAAAAATATTGATAAGGGGAGACGTACGCCAAAGGAAAACATGTTGTGCTGAGACTATATAATGTGCTTACCAGGTGGGCGTAAATGCTCCTGGGAGACCGACAATGGCGACCTTCTTGTCCGCGGTGTATTCGGCCATGTTGTGGACGAAAGACGGATCACCGAAGTCGTAGAACATATCGACCGCAGGGATCTTGCTTCCCGCCGTAATGGCAGAGAAGGCATCGATCGAGGCGATGCATGCCGATAGAACGGCTAACGAAAATGCTTTCATCGTGATATCAATTGGTTGCTGCTTCTACAAACTCCAATTTTGTGGCAGTAAAGCGTGACAAGGAGGTGAGACGGAAAGAATCCTCGCCGRCAACCGCTTCGATGGGCGGTCAACCAGTCAGGCAGGCAGTCGAAGGAAGGGGCAAGAACTCTCTGTCGTAGCGTGCAGTACGGCACATCACTGGCTACCGTACCGTATCCAACCGAATTGTCACATCAGCGGTGCGCTGGAAAAACGTTGACAGATGTTGAAGTCCAATTCAGCTTTTAGGTGACATTCTGTGTTTTGGTTTCACCGTGTCGATWATCATTGGAGGACAGTGACGCAGACTGACGCACTGTCACGACAATGAGAAAAATCAGAATCTGTGCTGCAATCACCAACCGTGCTACATAGTAAATAAACGTACGAAAACGTACGTACTCGTCCGTACACCGATAAGAAAAAAGATTCAAAGAGTCGCGCGATTTTTTCGCGCGAGGAGCAAAAAAAGAATGCAGATCAACCGGGTTTTTCGCAGTAGCCTGCAGTTCTGCAGATGCAGGTGTATGAGATTGTTGTCCATGAATATGTTCATGAATGGATCAATGATAAATTAATCGAAGGGTACTAAGTGATTCTTCATTATGTATTGCAGTATGACAATGTTTTAACCGAGATCATGTTCAATCCCTGCTCTCAGCAGGTACTTAGTATGGACAGCCATGTTACTACTACTAGTACTAGAACAGCAAGAAGCACTACTTGAGTGCAAAAAAGAACTCAAAGTCAACCTTAGTTGTGTTCAAGGGTAAGAAAGCATCATGTAAGCTATCATAGTCAGAAAATCAGCATCAAATACGAAGAAGAGTCTATCTTATATGTTACAAACAATTCGTTCCGCAGCTTCTTTGTCACGAACGTAGTCATCAAGTATACCTTTCAATGAGCTCAGAAGATATTTATTCGGGTCTTCACTTTCCTGATCTGCTCTCATTGTACGGTAGCTCATAGAAACAGTTCGTTCAAAAATTCTCAGAGCTGTTTTGCACCCTACTGTTTGAAGGCGGTTCACCGTCAATTCTGCCATCTCGTGTATCACTTTATTATCGATAGATGTTGACGCAGCTCCCATTTTTTGGACGCCATCGGAAAATAATTGATGGACTGATTCAGTATCAGATAATTCGGGAACTACAAGCGATTCATCGAACAACTCGTGAAGAACTGTGCACATTGCATCTGTTCGAGATGTGCATGCAATGACGGAGAGAGATTTGGCTTTGGAAATTGATTCCACGATGTCGCTGTTGAGATCGATACTGTCCGATGAAACCTTCGTTGACCGAGCAGCGGGGGAACGAAGCAGGGCCCGCAATGTGGATATCATCAGTGTACTATAACCTCCTGGACCTTGGCCAGCACATATCTGATCAATATCATCAAAAACCAATAATGATCTAGACATAGACGCAGCTTCTGTGAAGCGTTCTACCATGGCTGTAGCTCTTGCCGACTCGTCACCAGAATCTCCAGCAGTAACCAAGAGATCCAGCGAGGTGACTAAACGGACATATTCTGCTTCACCGTTTGCGGATGCTTCGGAAGCTGCCCAACATGCCAGAGCCGTGGCGCCTGTGCCGCCTTTGTGTCCATCACCAACCAATAGCAAAGATTGCAGAGTAGACATGGGTTTTTGTGACTCGGCTCTGTTGGTGTCATATACAGCAGAGAGACCTTCCTCAGCAAGATAGCTTGGAGTAGAAGTGAATCGCCCCAGATCCCGCATCAATCTCTGCATGGCACCAGAGCATGCGCTTATACCGTAGGGGAATCTAGATTCAAGTATTTCGTCTTGCTTTCCCAATGCTGGTCTCACTTCACTTAGAGCCTGATTGAAGTCATCAATCCCGACCATCATATCTCCATCGTAGTTGTCGTCAACCACTCGAGCAATTGCGAAGCTAGCTGCACTGCGGACCAAACCAGCCAATTCTGCTCCGGTGAAGTACTCTGTTTTAGCTGGTATGCCGTCTTCCGTCTCGATATTCTCCAAAGCTGCTTGTGCTTTTGAGTCTAATCCACCCTCTTTCTTCATATGTCGGGTATGAATGCGAAGGATATCTCTTCGGCCTTTGATATCTGGAAGTTCGACGCGGAGTTGTACCTCTAATCGACCCGGACGAGTCAAGGCAGGGTCCAATAATTCAGGTCTATTGGTCAGACCTATCACTAGAATATTGTTGGCTTCTTTCACACCATCCATTTTGGACAAAAGTTGGTTCACAACAGAATCTCTAACTCCCGTGCTATCGCCGCTCACACTTCCACGGCGCCTTGCGATGGCATCCAGCTCGTCCAGAATGATGACGTGCAATGCCGATGCATCTCCAACCTGATCGTACTCGACCTCAGCAGGTCGAAACAATGCTCGAACATTTTTCTCTGCTTCTCCTACAAATTTGTCGAGAATCTCAGGCCCATTAACAATTTGCGGTTCTCGGGCTCCCAGCATAGCACTGAGTTCTCGTGCCAGAAGAGTCTTTCCGCAACCAGGGGGGCCTGATAAGAGAATACCTCTGACGTGCTTGACTCCCAGTTTTCTGGTCATTTCTGGATTGGCTCTGCAATCGCGATGTAATTTATGTGATATGGATAAAAGTTATTAGTTTTCATTTCATCCATGATTCGCTTTTTGCTCAATCGTTTTGAACCACTCACCTTGATGCCAACACCCGTCGGACAATATCATTCAGTTGATCGTCTAGACCACCCACTTTCTCAAATGCTAACCCCATTTGAGCTCCAAGATTCTTGTTTAATTCTTCCTCTTCTTCTTCTTCCGCTTGGTGATCAATCTCTGCTTGTTCTTCGTCTCCAGATTCGGTCTCATCGAGATCTTCTTCTACCACCGAGTTCAGAATTTCAGTTATCACTGGATCTGCATGGGGAAATTGTTCGATGTCAAGCGACGACAAGCCGTCGCCGTCTTTCCCCGCCTCGAACATGGGTGGGCGAATCGCTACCTCGAGCAGCATAGTCTTGCCACCTAATCCAGAGTAGCTCCGAAGGGCACCTCCCACGTATTTCACGCAGTCTTCGCCTCTGCCTCCGCTTCCCCCTCCCAGTGTCCCGTCTCCACCACCCCTTAGTTTCGATGCAGTGGCTTTTTTGTAGAAACCATCTCGGTCGGGTCCTCTCATCAGGCTCATTTCTGTCATGCCCGTCAAAGCTCGTAGTACGGCCCAAGAACCAGTCGGCCATCGACCGCGCCATTCCGTTTCCTTCGGCAGAACATGCAAGATGCAGTCCCAATTGGCTCCACCCGCAACCCGGTAACGCCTTCTCGTGTCCTCTCTCTGATCGCCTTCATCGTCCGAATCTTCGGCAGCGGCGTTCTCGTCCTCTGCTTCGGGAACCGACGAGGTCGACKTTGGAAGCTCCAGCAAACGGTCGTAGACGCTCGATGCCAGTGGTATTTCCATTTCGTTCATTTTTTCCATAAGAGTCGCAATGGCGTCGTCGTCAACCCATCGACCCCATTCGTACCGAACTCCACCTCCCGCTTCGATATCGGCTGATGTGGGGACACATGCTGACTCGGCCGCCTCAAAGAGATCGTCAGGGAACAATCCCCTCAAAGGTGACGACGACGCGAGATTATCGCTGTCGACCTCGCTTACCGGTGTCGCGGCGAAGACAAAGGAAGATGCCGACTGCGATCGAGAGACATCGGGTGTTTGACTCGGTGAAAAAGAGGAGCATTCGCGAGCCAACAGAACACTTGTCGTCAGCACCCCGATCGAAAAAATCCGAAGGAACGGAACAGCCGGGGAGATCGTCATTCTTGGAACCGGAAGAGAAAAACAAGAAAACTTGGACGCTGCCCAATGCTCTTCCAATCTAACCACTATTGCCGTCTCACGAAATATAGGATGCGTTCGGAATGATAGCAGTTTATTATTTTATGATTTGGTAGTTTCAGTGTTCATCTTGTTCTTCATAAAGCAGATACGTACCGGTACTAAAATAGAAATCACCGTGACTACTAGTAGTAGTACTCGTAATCGTTTTTCGAGAATCTCTGTTTTTCCTGAACGATGGTCCAAGAAGTTTCGTGTCGAGTACGTACACGTACTCATACGTATGACACGTACGTAGGTATTACACGCAGGGAATCATAGACCCCTCCCTCCTCCCTGTGTATGTACACGTACGTTGCCTGGTACAAGGCAGTATGGTACTCGTATCTCGTGTTCGGTCTTCAGACAACCGTACCGTATGGTACGTACAAAACTTACTGTCGTACTACGGTATCCATACCCCAGAGTACGGTCCAGAAACCAAGRATAATACTGTACTATTCCCTTCCCTCCAAACGAAACGAGAGAAAGCGATGGTTCCGTCGGTTCCGTTGCAGTTCCCGTCTCACAACAAAAGCGGTTCTCTAGCGCAACAGGTGCGTACCCGCATCGCACCGCACACGCCACAAGATACGGACGGCGTTGGCGTGGGCACCCGGGGCACACCGGGCTCGGTTCAGGACCGGCCCACAAAGGGCAGGACGGACGGCGGGAGGTGTCCCCGGGTCTCCCCCGCAATGTCGTTCCGGACCCTCATGGCCCTGGCCCGCTGGATCGACCGGAGCAGGTGGCCCTGTTCGATGTGCCTGCTCTTCTGCCGGACCGCCAGGAGGGCCGCGTCGTTGACGACCTGCTTGAGGTCGGACCCGGAAAAGCCGGGGGTTTCCTCGGCCAGGTAGTCCCAGTGGATCGTGGAGAAACGGCAGCGCGTCTTGGAGGCGTGGACCTTCAGGATCTGTGCCCGGCCCTCCCGGTCCGGAAGGGGGACCATGATCTGCCGGTCGAAGCGCCTCAGGATGGCCGGGTCTAGGACCTCGGGCCGGTTGGTGGCGGCGATGACCACGACGTGGACGTCCCCTTCGTCCCCGCCACATCCGGGAGCCGTGGGGTTGCCCCCCCGGAAGAAACCGTCCATTTCCGTCAGCAGCTGGTTCAGCGTCTGGTCCCTCTCGTCGTTTGCGTTCCCGATCCCGCCGTGCGATCTCGACCKGGCCACCGCATCGAGCTCGTCGATGAAGACAATGGCCGTCGCCGGCCGGGAGACGCCGCTCCCGGCCCCGCGGCCGCTTTGCCGACTTCCGAGGGGCCAGGGCCACCCGGCGTCTCCGCCGCGGGTCCTCAGCGCCGCCCTCCGGGCTTCCCGGAAGAGCGTCCGGACCCGGCCGGCCCCCCTCCCGACGTACATTTCGCAAAAGTCGCTCCCGCTGCAGACGCAAAAGGCGTCGCAGCCGGCCTCCCCGGCAATGGCCCTGGCGATCATCGTCTTTCCGACCCCCGGGCTCCCGTGCAGGAGGATGCCGCGGGGGGGTTCGGCCCCCAGAGCATGGAAGCCCGAGGGATTTCGGAGGTATGACACGATCTCCCCGACCTCGGGAAGGATGGCGTCGAGGCCCGCCACGTCCGCAAAGGTCGTCCTTGCTTTCGCGTTTCCGGCACGTTTCGGCCCCGGCAGCAGCTTGGACGAGAAGAAGTCTCCTCCGTCGCCGCCGTTTTGCAGTCCCCTGAGCATTCGGTAGGCAAAGGCGAGGTAGACAAAGGGGAGGGCGGYCAGCAGTGGCGTTGCCGCCTTTTCCCAGAGCGTGTCGGGAAGGGCCGCGATGTCGCCGCAGCCCCCCTTCGCCAGCAGGTCCACCAGGTCCGCCTTGAGTCCCTGGCTCTGCGGGGGCAGGGAGGTCCTCTTCCATTCCCGGTCGCCGGTGCGAAAGACAATGTCGGTGGCGCCGACGAGGGCTCTCTGGACGGTTCCGTTCCGTGCCGCGTTCCGGAGCAGGCCGAGCGAGGCGGCCTCGGCGTGCGCGTGGTCGGGGGTCTTCCGCAGGTGTTCCAGGGCCGCGCAGAGTCCGGCAAGGATCCACCCGAGGGGGCTCTTGCGGGTCCGGGCCGTCCCCGGGTCCGCGGTGGCAATCGGACTCGCACCGGGATTCGCAATAGCACTCGCACTCCCCGCTGCTGTTGCGGCGAGTCCCGCAGCGGGGGCCTCGCGGCCGGCGAGGAGGTACCGCAGGAGCTTCCGGCCGGAAAGGCTTCCCCCCCGCTTCCGCACCGCCAGGGCRATCGCGGCCACCAGCAGCCCGGCGACCGCCCTTTGCGACAGCGCAGAGGCCTTTTCCCCGAGGACCCTTCCGAGGGCCGACCGGAGGCGYTKCGRCCAGGAATCGCCGCCCCGGAATGGGGACGGGGGCCCTCTGTCGCTCCGAGGATCCTSTTCTGTCTCCTGCGCGGGAGACGTGGGTCGCTGGCCGTCGGGCGGGGAGGACGGCGGCGGCGAGGAGGAGGACGAGGAGGAGGACTCCAGCGGCACGATGCAGCCGCGGCCAACGACGCTGTTGGTGGGGCTATCGTTGCGGAACTGGCGGGGCGCCATTGCGGGGTGCGGACTGGATCGAATCGGGTTCTTGGTGGCTCAAGAGGACCGGGGAAGAACGTTCGGTGGCGTGTGGTATTCGTAGGGAACGGTTCGAAGGCGCTTCTTCTCTTGCGCCATTGTTCCTACCGCACGGAACTGGTACCGGTGGATCGACTGTTATTATTTACTGTATTTGTTGTGGGCTGCACGAGCGAAATGCACGACAGCGCAAAAACTTGGTTCACGAATGAAGCCCGTTGGACTTGTACGTTYGTACGACCATGATGGTCGTACATACCGAGTTCAACAGGGCTGTACCGGTAGGCACATCACTGCCACTTACTGCCAACCTTTTGAAAAATCAATCTTGCGCATCGCATCGTGATCGCGTGCGGTGAAATATTTTGAAACGAAATTCAAAAATCCAGCTGCCGTACGTAGCGTAAATTACTGAGGCGTGCGAGCTCGTAGCGTACGTAGTCGTAACTAGTGCTCATAGTCACATTTATTAGTCATAATCCCATCTGTGTACGAACGTACCTATCATGTCTGAGTATGAACATAGTAGGTTAGGTTGGCAACAAAAATTCAACAAAACCGATAAAAATAAATTCTCAAGACCTCTAAAAACAAGAATGTCAGACGAGCATGCATTCATACTTCTAGTTCACATTTCACATGGMACAGCCGATAGCGATAGCCGTACTCGTAACGGACAGTACGGTACGTTACGTACCTACGAATGCTTCGTCGTAAAAGTACCGTAGGTGCGGGAAAAAATGTCAGGTGATTTTTGAACCAGGTTCCCATCCCATCGCATATCGCATCCCTGCAGGTCCACGGCACTCTCTACTCTAGCACGGGGGGGGGACCACTGTACGGAGGTCACCCGTAGCTTCTTACTACCGCACGAGAATTCGTACTCGTGTCCGTACTTGTACTGTATGCTCGGACCAATTATTGAACTGAAGAATAGTTGCCCCGTACGTTTTGCACGGCGGAAGCGCATCCGAAAAAGCGTATCGTCCGGTACGACACCGTACGATACGACACCATTCATACATCACCACTTCCGTCGCAACCGACCATGGTGGTGTAGAAAGCGAGACAGCTTAGAAACGACCGAACCAACCAACCAACGAACRAACCAACAGACCAAGCATTACACTACCGAAACGGACGACGGAAGTGATCCCTCCCCTAACAGCCAAGCAAGCACGGCCAGAGCCAAACCACTGTTTTCCGCCCCGCACCATGGCCGAGAACGACAAGGACAACGAGAAGGACACGGACAAGGACGGCGACACGCCGATGGCCGATGCTTCCGAACCGGAACCGGCCGCCGCCGGGACCAAGGAGGACACCGCGCCGGACGCCGGGCCCCCTGCCGCGGGCCCGAGCGCCGAAACCAGCGATCCCGGCACCGGAGAGGCCGCCGCTTCCCCCGGCCCTTCCGGAGCAACGGAGGCCCCCCCTCCGGGAGCCTCCGGATCCGCGCCGCCTTCGGAAGAAGCTTCCGTCCCCCCCGAGAAGCCTTCTCCTGCCGGTGTTGATGCGGCTGTTTCTGCCGATTCCGCCCCGGAACCCTCCGTTGCGAAAGGGGCGGCTTCCCCCGAGAAGAAAGCCTCTGCCCCTTGCGCTGAAAATGCCGCGGTAGCCTCCGGGCCACCGGCCGAGGCCGAGACCACGGCCCCTTCCGCGGGACCGGCGGCGGAGGAAAAGGATTCCGGGGGAGACGCCAAGGACGACTCCCCCGCCGCGGCTCCGGCCGCCAGCGAGGCTTCGCCAGAGGCGGCCCCGGTGGCGGCTCCAAGTGCTTCTCCCTCCCCCGGTGGAGACGCTTCCGTTCCCCCCGGGGCACCGGCACCGAGCGGAGACAAGGACAAGGACAAGGACAAGGTCAAAGACAAGGACAAGGACAAGGACAAGGACAAGGACAAGGACAAGGACAAGGACAAGGACAAGGACAAGGACAAGGACAAGGACAAGGATAAGGACAAGGTCAAAGACAACGAAAAGGACAAGAACAAGGACAAGAACAAGGACAAGGACGCTCCGATAGCCACCAAGGAGTCACCGGAGAAGCCAAAGCCGGCTTCTTCTTCCGCCACCGCGGCGGCTTCTCCCCCTGTGGCTCCCGCCTCTTCCTCCCCCGCCGCCGGTGCTTCCAAGCCCGGCCCGCCCAGGCCAGGAACGGCCGAGAGCCGGCCCTCGCCGTCGGCAAAGGCCAAGGCCGCCGCGGTGGCGGCCGCAATGGCCTCCCCCAAGGGACCCCCTCTCGCGAAACAAGGGACCGCCGTTCCGCAACCGGCCCACGCCTCCTCCTCGGCGGCCGCTTCCGCTTCGGGCAAGGCCGGAAAGCCCTCGCTGCCGGTTCCCTCCAAGGCCAAGGCCGGCGGGGCCTCTTCCTCTTCGTCCTCGAAGGCCTCCAAGGCCTCCAAAACGTCCAAGCCCTCCGCCGCGGGGGGAACCTCGGGCAAGGCGGGTGCCTCCGCCCCGGGGGCCCCCAAGCTCTCTTCCGCCGGGGGCGCCTCCAAGTCCCTCAAGAAGGGGGCCCGCAAGAAGCGCAAGCTCGCGGGAGGCCCGGACGAGGCCGACGAGAAGGCCGACGCCCCGGCCATCAAGAAGGTCAAAAAGGTCAAGCGGAAAAAGGTGCGTCCGGCCCCGCAAGGCAATGCAATGCAATGCAACAACCCGCAGGGTCTGTTCTTTCTCTCTTTTTTTGTTCTTTCGTCTTCGTTCTCGCTCGTTCGTGCTCTGCCATTCCGTCTCTCACGTTTCGTTTTCAACGCTGCCTTCCTATCCCCCGACACAGGAAAAGGAGGAAGAGAAGAAACCCGAAAAAACCAAAAAGCCCCGCAAGCAGCCCAAGAAGCCCTCCTCCGCGGGCGCCTCTGGTGGCCTCCACTACGCGGAGCAGTTCTTTGCTCCCACCGTCATGTCGGCCGCGCAGCTGGCCGTCCAGGAGCAGATGCGCAAGGCCCTCGAGGAAGACCAGTACAGCGCCAACGGCAGCATCGTCGACACCGACACGGACGACGAGGACCACCAGTACGTATACAAGGGGCAGTCGATCCGTCTCGATCGGGCGCACCTGCTGCAGGTCGCCAAGACAACCAACTGGCTGGCGGACGGATCCGGGGCCGGCTGGTCCAGGTTCCCGAGGGGGGGAGGACCCGGCAAGAACGCCGAGGCCGACGATCCGGAAACCGCCGTCGACGAAGAGGGAATCCTAAACGCCGACGGGACCACCAACAAGACCGGGACGACCAGCAAGAAAAAGTCCTCCAAGAGCAAGAAGAAGGGACGCAACCAGTACACCAACCGCAACAACAACAACAACAACAACAACAGCAGCAGCAGCGGCAGCGGCAGCAACCGAAACAGGGTCGGCTTTCGAATCGAGGACCGACCGGCCGGGGGGTCCTCCGACTACGGCAGGGTTGGCTGCACCATCATAGACAAGAGGTCGGACGCGGAGCGCGACGAGGGCAGCATCTTCGGCCAGACCGCCGGCTCCTCCCAGTCGACCTGGGTCGAGTGCGACAAGTGCAAGAAGTGGAGGCGCCTCCGCGGGATCGTCGACAGCAACAAGCTCCCCCCCAAGTGGTACTGCACCATGAACAAGAACGACCCCGAGCGGGCCCGCTGCTCGGCACCCGAGGAAGAATACGAGTCGCCCCGGACCCCCGAGTCCAAGGCGGACGCCCGGACCCGCAAGCACCTGCGGGTCTGGGTCCGCCGCCTCCAGTGCAACGAGCAGTACGAGTCCCGCCTGCCGACGCTCACACGGGGCAAGAAGCGATCCGCCGGCACCAGCCCGAAGGAGCCCCACGAGTGGATCCGCTGCTGCAACCCCTCCTGCGGGAAGTGGAGGGCCATCCTCCGGATCATGGACGCCAAGCAGAACGTCATGGACCTCACCACCGACGGGGAGTGGTACTGCGTCATGAACACCTGGGACGAGAAGACGGCCAGCTGCGCGGCACCGCAGGAAAACCTGCCGGCCGTGGGCTGCCCCTCCTGGGTCATGCAGGACCTCGAGCGGGAAAACTAGGCGGCCGACCCACCCACCGAAACGGTTTGGTATGGTTTGGTTTGCTTCGGTTCGGTTCGGTTTCCATCGGGAACAAAGGGAGGCAGCGGCCTCAACTGCTTTCGTGCGCTGCGTACGGCGAGGTTTTGCGGTGGTGCGTACCGGAACGGAGAGAAGGACACAATTAAGGGACATTGCCAGTGGAGTTATACGTTTTCGCTGCCACGGATGAAACAACACAAGAACAAGCAGCCGAGAAATGGGAAGAAACGATTCGCACGCCTCGATTCGGATTTTGTTTCGCATGACTACGGCTAATTGCGTACTTTCGATAACAAGATATTTTATGTTAAATACCACCGGTTTTCTACAATTCGTCCGCGTCTTCGTCTTGTTCGTCGTTGCCCTCCGCTCGGGTTTCATRGATGCCGCTGGTGCTKCCGCTGGGATTGATGCGGTTCTCCGAGGGACGTTCCAGCAGCTTGCGCTTCTGGACCGCGCGGCTGGCGAAGCGCTGCTCGAGCCCAACGACGCCGGACGGCCAGCGCTCCTGGTGMCGGAGGGCGAGGGAGACCACCTCGAAGGACCGGGCCGGCAGCACCTCCAGCTGCGGTGCCTCCACCATCCACGCGTACAGGACGTTCAGGGTGCGGGGGGTTACTCCACCGCCGCCACCGCCGGTAAGAGCCTCTGTGGCGCTTTCGACCGGGGCCGCCGCGAGCAGGTGGCGGAGAAGGTCCTGGTTCTTTGCGGCCACCCTCGGGCTGGCTTCGTGGGGATTGCGGTGGTCCCGGGCCCTTTGGGAAGATTCGAGCAGGAGCATCGAACCCGCCAGCGCCTCACCCAGGCTTCCTCCCCGGGAGCCGGCCAGAACCAGGAGGCCACCGGGGAGCTGGCCGAGTGCCGCCATCGCGGCGAGGACGACCTTTTCGTTCAGGGCTTCGCGATGGCGGAGGCAAACGGCCAGGCGTCGGAAAGCCCCCCTGCAGGCAGCGGCAAAGGAGTCGGACCCCTCGACAAGTTCCACCGATAGGCCCTCAAAGATGAGTCCCAGCGAGTGGCAAGCACCCCAACCGTGCTTCTTTGCGGCCGATCTCTCTTTCCATGTCATGGCAGACTTTTGCTCTTCGTTCAATGCCACGTGCAACGTGTTGGAGAGTTTTTGGGTCAACGCCTCTACCATTGCAACGAGCAATCCGCAAGACGATGATACACCCTCGTCCTTGGGATTGCACCTCATCGACCCTGCCAACAAATTGCCCGCGTGTCCAATGGACCGGATGGCGTTTTTCACCACTTTGTCGTTTGCATCGTTCAAGGAATCAAAAATGGCGTTCGATGTTTCTTGTAGCTTTGTCAAATCCAAAAGTTCCTCGGAGTTTGATGCTTTCAGGGCACTTGTTAGATTTCCTAAGCAAAAGATCGACATCGACCGGGCTGCTGCGTTCTGGTCCCTACAAAGCTCCAGCATCGCGACACAGACTTTTTCTGCGATCCATGCGTATGTTTCTTTCTTCGTTTGCCACAGGGTCTCGTCAGCCGCGCTCCGAATTATTATGTAACGAGAACAAAATTCACCAACGGCTTTGGCAGCTGCTTCGCGAGTTTTCGCATTCGAATCGTTGCAATGACCTACAATTTGTTGAAAATGATCGAGGAGCCGGCCATTTATACGGTCTAGTTGCAGCCAATCCTGGCTTCGAAACGCCGAGTATATGGTCAAACGCCGCCGCTGACCGTTCCGACTCCAAGGTCTGAGCAACATTGTATCCAGATCTGTRATGATCCCATCGTTTCTTGGCTTCATATCAGATGATACRTCAAAATCTTTCCTTCCCAGCATGAGCGACTCAAGCACTTCCAAACGCACCTGGTCGTTTTTGTTAGTGCTGCTCGTGTTTATTTTGTCGAAGAGTTGGAGAAAGGCCTTCCATCTTTGCAACGCCACATCGGGAAGGGTTCTCAGCACAGAAGATAAAATCCTGACGCTGATATCCAAATGACGGTCCATCGAATCAAAAGAATCCATCAATGCCTKAAGAAACATTTCTACGAAAGAATCTCCGCTCAGAAACCAATTTCGAGCAGGCAGAGACATTCCACGCAAATGACCCTGAGGGGTGACCGTCCCGCCCGAAGAGACTAGCAGGATTTCGATTGCTAGGCTTTGTTTGTCGCTGTTTTCAGCCGAGGCGGTATATTCAAAACAACCATGAATAGCCCTTATGATGCTTTCCCAAAGATCCCTCCCGGCTTGGATTAGCTTGGTGTCACAGTAWGGGATTTCTAGGTAAATTGYACTTACGAGACGCCCTAGGCTGCTCCTCAATGCCTTATCGCGACAGTTRTCAAAGCAACTCTTTACAATTCCAATCAGTGTACACAGCGCATTTACCACGGTTTTGTACAAACCGGACGTTGTTGCTTTTGGCGATACTACGTCAAGAGATCTCATCGATTGCTGTCGTGCGTTACCAAAAGGACTCTGCTTGAGCCATTTGTTCCACGGCAATAACGTGATGAAGTCTGCGAGACAATCCATGGTCAGCGCAACTTGATCATGATCAATATAGTATCTTCGCTGTACACTGTCGTCGTCGCAATGTGTCACAACCATGGATGGTAGGTACGACAACGTCACCGGGGAGGACGAGACACGGCGACCACTACCATGACGGGACTGTACCACATTTTCCATTCCGTTCGCACCTTCAATGATGAGTTTCCACCCGATACCTGTCATTTCGTTTGGATAACATGCGATCAAGGCTCGCATAAGACGAAGTGATGCAATCGTCAGTGGGTTGGATTCCACTGCCGACTTGGAGGAGTTTGTCGTCGTGCTGCTGTCGTCATTCTTGAACTCTGCCACTACTTTCGTAATGAATTTCTCAAATGGTCTCATAATAATTTGCACGTCTGCCTTGATCTGGCCAGCATGGTTGGTTTCGTTCCCTTTTCCCAATTTGCGAATTGCATCGATGGAGGCCGAAAGCGTACGGCACACAAAACTCTCAACTTCTAAATTTCTTTTCAGATCGTCGGTCGTTTTAAGATGCTCCAGCAACGAATGCAGCAATTTCACACGGAKTGGATTTGCAACTTCTTCTTGTGCATAAACCGACGGTAAAATCGAAACATCTTCTACCAGTGGTGCGAGCATCGCGGACGCGTGGCTCGGACGTTCCAACAGGGCAATCAGCGCGTTGCAAACGCAGACGGTTACATRTGTGTCCGGTTCAGGCTTCCGACACGTCGATGATAGATGTGGGAGGAATACAGTTCCCACMACATTTCGTGCTGTCCATTCTGGTGCCAAGTGGTTGGCAAATAGCTTCACAAAAAGAGCAATAGAAGCCAAAAAGGCGGAATTTGTAGCTAGAAGACCCGCTGCCAAGGGTTGCTGCTGCAAGTTAGACACCGGGAGTGGTGCAGTGTTAGTAGTAGTAATCGTCGTCATCGTCGTCATCGTCATCGTCATCAATTGTTTGTAGTGAGACAACAGCGTCGAGATTCCGTATTCCACCTGGGATCTGGACAAAGCCAACGTCTCCATCCCCGGTGACGATGATTTGTATTTGCTGATTTTCTCGTTGTCGTCATTGTTCATAGAATGTCTGAGACACGATTCTATGCTCTTTGCCAGAATTAGGCGCACATTGTCCGTCTCATCAGTAACAGCGCTAGCATTGTATTTATGTTTGGTTCCATTCATCCTGATTTCCAGAAGACCAAGAAGAGTCAGAAAGAGATCGGAATCATCCCGTCCACTTCGGCTACCTTTTTGACGACAGGGGGCACCAAGCGTTGTAGCGTCATCGCGGAGAAGCTTTGTGAGGTTGTCAACAAGAACCGATTCGTCATGGCCACTGTTATCTTCAGACGATTGGTATCGAAAGAGCTGTGATTTGAGGGATTCTACCACTTCAGCGCGTTCTGCCATCGACATTGTCGACGGTGGCTGGGCATTTTGCTCGCTTTTCCTTGCCTCGGTGTTTGTGGGCGGGTCGAAAACGGGTCGCCTTGCATAGTGGGCGCCAGTCCATCGGTCTGGGTTGCGTTGGTGGTCTTGCTGTTTCTGTTTCTGCTGTTGCAAAAAGGATCCACGAAACCTGGGCTGGCGCAGTTCCGTTCCGTCGCGATGCGTAGCGTTGGAATTGGAAGATTGGGTCCATCGTTTGTCCCGGCCGCCGTCGTTGCTGCCGCGACTCCTCCACGCACCAGCGTTGGTGGACTTTCCTTTCTCCTCTTCCTTTTCAAACTTGAGGCTATCCCATCGGCTTCTCATGGCTTTTGCATTCAACGAACCATTGCCACCGTCGCAATAATCGTTCATGGCGGCACGGAGTTTTCTCTGATGGGGATTATTTTTGAAATCCGTCAACGCGGATTTAGTTTGGGAACAGAACGAGGCTGCCTGGATCGAAGCTATTTTCACTCTAACCCTAATAATACATTTTCAGTCGCCAGTGGAGATGAGAAAAWTTTTAGAAAAATCTTGTCGTTCGTACGTACATGCTAGTACTGGTATTCGTTCGTTTGGCTACTATTCTACCGACGCTACGCTATCGTTCCGTACCGTACCATGTGTACCAACTTGTACGGGTATTACGAGTTCGTACTCGTACTAATCATAAAAAAGCGATGTTTGGTGATACGTTCTTCTTAACCTTAATCTCAATAATGAAACAATATGTGCGCGAATGGACCGTTGCGTCAAAGGTCGTACCGCTARGTAGTAARGCACCCGTACAAAAAGCGTCATTTCTTCTGCGTTGTGTTCAATGGAGTCTCGTATTTGAAATGCCGAATACAARGTCATCGATCCCTGTTCTCTTCCTACCACCAGCTTTCTCGGTTTACGGGACACAGATAGAGAACAGCAGTACCACAGCAAATTATAGCTGCCTGAACAGCTTATTGTGAACCATGGCGAAGTACGCTTATGCTCCTCTCTCTATTGTACGTGCTAGACGGTTATAGTGTAGGACTTGATGGGAYGCACCGAACGAATCATTCCTGGTGCTACTGGGGTCTCGTTTCGTGAATGCTCGATTCGGCCGAGCAGAAGRATTTCGAAATTTTCTTGCGCCGGGTGAAACGCGATTCTCACAACGTTCTTTTTCTTTTGCGGACCCAGGAGGAACAACGGCGAAGGGCCGCCGGCGGCTATTATCCAAGTGGCGGCGGCGGAACCACCACCGACGACGAAGACAAACTCATCCAGGAACGGATGCCGATGTGCGTGGGATTCTGCGTGTTGCTGGCCATTGTCTACGTCCTGAGTCGCACCGGAGTGAACCAAGACGTTATGCTGGATCGCAACAGCAGGATCAACAACGGGCAGGTACAAAGCCTGCGCACCGGAGAACCGGTCAATGGTTTCGTACCCGCCTCGACGCAGCCCGTAGCGTCGTCTTCGAATGGAMTCAATCCCACYGAGTCGGCCGTTTCCACCGCCGCCATTCCCAAGGAGGAAGGCTGCGACTGCCCGGAGTCACAGACAATCATCAAAACCGTGTACCAACCGGCACCCGTTCAAACTTCTGCGACTGCAGCGACCACCGGAGAGGACACGAACGCGTTGATGGGCCGTCTTCGCCAGGAGGCCCTGTCCAATACACCCCCGCACATTATTGAATGCGCTGCGGCCGAGGCCGGAGAATCACAGAGTGCTTGCCACTTGCCGAAAGAAACAAGATACGCGGCGCTCGGCCAAAAGGGAGCAACCCTGTGGATGACCGGGTGTTCCGGAGCCGGAAAAACGACCATTGCCACTGCTCTGGAAGACATTCTCGTTAAGAACTATGGAAAACACGTGTATCGGCTGGATGGGGACAACCTTCGGACGGGACTCAATCGAGATTTGGGATTTTCGGAGTTTGATCGAGCCGAATCGGTTCGACGGACCGGTGAGTTGGCTACGCTGTTTTCGGATAGCGGAGTTATTACGTTAGTTGGTCTCATCAGTCCGTACCGAAAGGATCGCGACGAAGTTCGAAAGCGCCACGAAGACCAAGGGATTCCCTTTTACGAGGTCTTTTTGGACGTTCCTGTGAAAGAACTTTTTGAGCGAGACCCCAAGGGACAATACGCCMGGGTCAAATCGGGTGAACTCAAGCATTTTACTTGCATCGATGACCCCTACGAAGAACCGCTCAACGCAGAGATCACTCTTAAGACACACGAATTGGMGATCGARGAATCCGTCGCCCAGCTTTTCCAACGGCTGGAGAGGGATGGCATCTTGATGGGAGCACCCAAAGTAACACCCCMTGGTTTGCCCAATCCCGATGGGGATAAAATCGTCGACTTGCACGTCCCAGCCGACCAAAAGGCGGCACGCACGCTGGAAGCCGAAGGTCTTCCGAAAGTGTTGATTACGGACATCGATCTGAATTGGCTGCAGACAATCGGCGAAGGATGGGCGGCCCCGCTCAAGGGTTTTATGCGGGAAGGAACGCTGTTGGAGACTCTCCACTTCAACAGTGTTTTGATTGATCCGTTCAACGTTACCGGGAACGAAGATAGACTGGAAACCAAGACGGATTTCAATAACTTTCCGGAAAACCGTCCCCGCAATCGTGTCAGTATGCCCATTCCAATCACTCTTTCTCTGAGTGATTATACAAAGGGACGCATCGAATCTTCCGGCAAGGAAGATGTTGCATTGGTGACCCGAATGGGAGAAACTGTGGCAATTATGCGAAACGTCGAAATTTACGAGAATCGCAAGGAGGAAATTGTGTCCCGAATGTATGGAGTYATCGACATGGACCACCCCTACATTCATAACATCTACATGGGTGGTGAYTACCTTATTGGAGGAGAAATCGAATTGCTGGATAGAATCCGTTACAACGATGGRTTGGACAAGTGGCGAAAAACCGCTACCGAGCTGATGCAAGAGTTCCAGGACAAGGGTGCCGACACCGTTTATGCCTTCCAAACCCGCAATCCTACTCATGCCGGCCATGCTTACTTGATGAAGTCAGCAGGAGAAGATCTTCGAAAGAAGGGATACAAGAAGCCGGTGCTTTGGTTGAGTCCTCTCGGAGGCTGGACCAAGTCAGACGACGTGCCACTCGACGTACGAGTCAACCAGCATGAACAGGTTCTAGAGGCTGGAATCTCCCACCCTGGTGGTCTTGATCCCGAAACAACGGTGATGGCTATCTGGCCATCTCCCATGGTGTATGCTGGTCCAACCGAGGTCGAATTCCATGCCAAGTCTCGTCGCAGTGCCGGTGCGAGCTATTTTGTGGTGGGTCGCGATCCCGCCGGTATGAAGGGTTCCCCAAATGCCGTTGCTCACCCCGATGACGACTTGTAYGACGGAAATCACGGTCGATATGTGCTGCAAAATTCTCCCGGAATCGGTGACATGAAAATGCTTTCCTTTGTAAAGGTCATGTATGATACCACCGACAACGTCATGAAACTTCCGGACGAAAGTCGCATGCAAGATTTTATCAGCATTTCCGGAAGCAAAATGCGTCTCTTGGCTCGCAATGGAGCTGTCCCGTGTGCACCCGACAACATTCCAACGGATTTGGTTGCAGCCAACTGCGTTCCAAGCGGTTTCATGGTACCGAAAGGATGGGATGGCGTCGTTGACTACTACAAGAACATCGACGATACRACYCGATGGACGCCCTGGTCYCAACCCCATACCGAAGCGCCCGCTGCTGGAGGCACCGCACAGGTWGGAAGTTTCGGCTTTTCTACATTTTCTATGACATCAACCGAATACGGAAGTTGGTGGCACGACGTTCCTATTCGCCCTGCTGGAGAAGCAGAATCRTCACCAATTCTCAACATGGTTACGGARATTCCGATGTACATGACAGCGAAGATGGAAGTAGACAAATCATTYGCMGGAAACGCTATTCGACAAGACAYCAACAAGGATGGTTCGCCTCGYTATTATTCGTACGGAACAACATTTTTCAAYTATGGTTTGATTCCTCAAACCTGGGAAGACCCCGAAATGATGTCTATGGGATACGGAGGTGACAACGACCCAATCGATATGATTGAACTCGGAGACAAACCACTCGCTATGGGAAGCATTACGCCCTGCCGTGTCATTGGGGAATTAGAACTTATCGAYGAGGGAGAAACCGACCACAAGATTTTGTGCATTGCCCTGACTGATCCTCTCTCTAAYACGGTGCACACCATGGACGATTTGGAACGAGCCAAACCGGGCACACTGGAGCTGCTGAAAAACTGGYTGAAGMGGTACAAGACCACCGACGGAAAGCCCGTGAACAGCTTGGCGAGCGAAACTCCTCGAACCGTTGAGGGAGCGCTCGAAGTCGTTGCCGAAGTACACTCAAGGTGGCGAACGTTGTGCGGCAAGGACGGGACACGCCGAACAGCTCTGTCCAGCAAGACGGAAGACTTTTGGTTGGCTAGCCCCAACTGTAGAGGGGCATAAAGAGTTACAAAAAAATACATATATAAAGCAAACGTATAAAAGTTCATCAAAGCTAAAAAACATTTTATCATAATTGTGTTCATTCACTAGAATCCTGCTTTTGATGGATTGAACCCCTATTGAATACCGTAATAGTTGTCACGAATAATTCGAATCTTCGGATGGAACGAAGTCTTGGTCTAACAGTTCATCGGGCATGTCTCTTATTACGCGCCGAAGTATGTATCCGGGCCCACAATTTCGGATGGTTGTATCACGTGCCGTACTATCAAGAAGTCGCAAGAACACTTTCCCACCCGGAAGGCCATAAAACAGGCCTCGGATCGGTTTGAGGCAACGGCCCACTAACCTGTTGGAGATTTTCGATTTGTTTTTCTGTTTGAAATCGGTCAGAAMCGTCTCCTCCTCATTCTCCATTCCCTCCTCTGGCCTATATTGATCTCGACAAATTGAGCAGTACGGACGAAGGCGCTTGACGCKGGGAACAGGAATCCGATGAGTAACCTCAACGTCGAGGTCGCAACACCGTCTTGGATACAATTCCTCGAGATAGCTCGCGTATTTGTCAAGGACATCCCGGCGGTTTTGGCAAGGGTTGAGCTCCATTCCGTAAAAGTAGCGATCCACGTCGGCAAAAATTGCGGGGTTGTCGATGGCGGCCCTCCCCATCATGCACCCGTGGAGGTTGGGCGGTGCCAACTCGTACGGAGGTGCAATACAGGACCCATGCGGCACCCTGCACTGTGAGCAGGGTATTTCTCTATGGTGGGTTTCGCAGTGTTCYGGTTCACTACTTCCGWAGCAGATTCGTTTTGCTTGTACCAAGTCTTCACATCGAGGAAAAGAATGGAGCATAATGCACTGATGAGTATGGTCGTACAAGGTCAGCCACAAAATTGTATCCGTTATAGATTGTTTCAGTAAAGAGAATTTTCATAGAACTTGCAGATTTTGATCCATCAAATTGTATTCAATTGCAAAAACGAGACTTTATTGCTCCCTTCGTGGACAGAACATAGCCAAATACGCGAATCCTGACCGAAATTATGAATATGTCGTACTGAACTTACTTCGAATTCCGCCATTGATCCAAAAGTCAACCTCCGGGAACTTTCGACACAGAGCGTAGACCCTCGGATAGTTTATGGGAGGGATGCTTCGGTTTTGTCGTGCGCTGAACAAACCATTTAGTACGCATTTTCTAGCATGGAGATAAAACCTCCGACAAACGGGCAACAGGCGCTCGATGTAGGTCGCGATAAAGTCGAAATCGTCGAAGTCATCCACCCCGATTCTGCACTTGATGGAGATGGGCCTCGACGTCGCACTGGCTTGCATGCTGTCCAGCACCGAATAGGCAACGTCAATCTTTTTCATCAGCACCGCCCCGAATTCCCGCTCCCCGCTCACCCGGTCCGAGGGGCAATCTATGTTGAGGTTGACCTCGTCGTAACCGTAGATCAGTTCCACGACCTTCGTTGCCTTGCCGCAGAGTTCGGGACTATTTCCACCGATCTGACAGACCTGGCGGTTCGGCAAATTGCGGTCCGGTGCTACAATGTCCTCCAGATGCTCCGAATGGGCAACGGTCTCGTCGACGACCATATCCGTCCACACGACGAGTCTGGTCGAAAGAATGGAAAAGAGCTTTCGAAATTCTCGCTTGCTATAATCCAGCATGGGGGCAATGTGGAGTTCTTTTTTGCCGTCGTCAATGTTTTCTCCCGAAGATATTGGCTTTCGGATCAGAGGAATCGAAGTTTTTTCTTCGTGGATCGCCGATGGCTCGGCTGTGTTGCGGCAAACCCTTTCATCGCCCCCCGACAATGCATCGCTGTCCCCTCCCTCTTCTTTCTTTTCGTCGCTAGCACCGTAGTCGCAATTACAACCCCAATCGTCATTTGCGATTCCTTCTTCAACGATATCACCCATTTCCACCAGCATTTGATTTTCCGTTGCCATCACTACATCACCACTGAAGGACAGGAATGACAAGGTCTATGGTACAAGAGGTGTCGCTTGGAGGCAGAAATTGGTGAGAAAGAAGAAATGATAAAAAAGGTAGTATTTTGTTTGCAATTTACGATGGCTGGTTTATGGTGAGTCGAGCGAGTTGAGGGCAGTAAAACTTGAAATGAGTCGAATGGGTCGAAATCGTATCAATCGTATCAATGAAATTTATTGAGGCAAGAAGTCCACCGCAAAACTGAATCCAATGCAGACATCACCATCTTCYACGGCATTATCGCAACAAACATTCTCGACGATACTTGGTAAAGACACCGCTGAAAGTTAACCGCATATTTCATTCCATTCGATTGCATTCCAGGTCATTCAAACCACGATGAGCGAGGGAAAATTTGATGTGGGCTCTATCGTTCGTGCGAAACGGGGCTCGAAACGGTGCCGAGCGATGGTTGCCACGGTTGGTGATGGTGGCGAGGAACACGATCCATCACGGGATACCGTGTGCATWCTGTGGGAACCGATCTATCCAAAACCGATCTCCGGCCGGTTTTTGATTGCACCAAAGGCCGGAAGGCTTGAAGCAGAGAGAGAGCAGGCCGAAGTTACCGTCGGCGTCGAAACGGTGGAAGAATTGCTGCCCTTCGAACGATGCGGTTCGAACAACAGCGACGAAACAGCAGTAGCACCAACAGCAACCATCACAGCGTCGAAACATACCAGCACCAAACACAACATTGGACTTTGGAAGGAACGCGGGGACCAACTGCTTCGCCTAGGAGATGCGTCGGCCGCTACCTCCTACTACGAAAAGGCTCTTTCCGATTCCAGCTCGGTGTCTATTGGTGGAAGCATCGTTCTTTCGGTCGAAGGATTTCCCAGGATTGCCGAGGTCGACTGCATCGATGACGACGAGGACGATGGTGGAACGATCGATGTGACCCTCGTSCACAACGGGCAAGAGCGGAGCGTAAAGGAAGCGTCCGTTCTGCTGGGGATCATGGAAGCGGACGCCGACCGGCTCCAAGAGCGAATACTGCTGAACCTAGCCCGGTGCATGCTGCAGCTGTCCGACCTGGACGCCGCCAACCGGCCCGGCTATCTGAAATCCGCCGTGCTGGCCGCCACGCTCGTTCTTGCGCTGTCGTCCTTTCGGAGCAGCGAGGAGGATTCCGACGGGACCCCTTCGCCGGCCAAGAAGCATTCCCAGACGGCCCTKGTGCTGCGGTGCAAGGCGTACACGGGCCTGTCCAGGTGGAAGAACGCCAGGTCGGACGCCAGGCAGCTCGTCGCCAGCGGCGACGAGAAGCAGGGCAGCAAGCTGCTGGCAGTCGTGGAACGCAAGAAAGCCACTCAATCCAAACAGGACAAGAAACTGGCCAAGGAAATCTGCAAGCTGGTGGAATCCGCCACAAACGCTGCCAGGGACGGATCGGAGGCAAACCCGGTGAGTCCTTCGTCGTCGGCCCCCGGGGCGTCTTCTGCATCGAAACCAATGGCAAGGAGGGCGAAAACTAGCAAACAACTGTCGTCACAGGGCGGTCCGCCGCGTGGTTTGCAGTTCGAAAAGGGAAAAGACGCATCGGCCTCTAACATAACGCTCATCGTTTCGTCTCTCGTTCGATGTGGTCGGGTCTTTTTCATGCTATCTGTTGCAGCTGCGGTACTAATTTCGAAGTATTTCCAAACCAGCAAAGAATAAGAAAAGTCAGGGAGGCTTCCTCTCGAAGTTACCCCAACCCCGCGTGCCAATCCATGCAATAAGCGAACGACGACAAATCGTGCGGGGTTGAAGTTCACAAGGTTGTTTTTTGCATTAMATTGATGACACGGAACCGATTCGAAAACGAACTCCAGAATCGATGCGATTTTTTCTGTGAGATTTCGGTTTTCCTGCTATGCATCAAGGCAATCATTCATGCAGAAACAATGGGGATAGTCAGACGTCCGCCACATCTTACGGCAAGGCGCATTAACAAATCTTTTCTATACGATGCTATTGTATTGTTCTTTCTTTTGACGATGCTGTAGTTTGTAGATGATGGTTTCTACCACATGAACATTGATTTTCAACACAGTTCGAAATTCGCAAGCTATGGTACCGTACGGTGCCTTAGTAAAGTTATTAACATGAGTAGCTCATAGCTACTCGTGATCTAGTTATGGAGATGGGACTAAAAACTATCTTTGGCCATCCTCAGAAGATCGCGCGCCATTTTACTGAGCTTCGTTCGTTGTTTTACTACTCAAAACCGTACCGGTACGTATCTTTACAAGCATAGTGAATGTTAATACCAATCTACCGTACGGTACGTCACGTCGACAAACACGACAGCTGCTTCCAGTAGCCATGGTTTGTGAAGGAGATACAATCATAGGAAACACAAGGATCGGTGTGCTTCACGGTAATCGATGAAAGCCATTATCCGGAAACTCCGATACCGACGCACCGCTTGTATCGGGGACAACGCAAAGAGGACAACGCAACAAACAACGACATGGCGGAGAGTGGGACCAGAGCCACCGAGAGCGGCGGCTCGTCACCAAGAAAGCGACCGCGGAAGGAGGCCCCGCCGCCTCTGGTGGAAGGTGTTGGCGAACACAAGAAAGCCAGGGGCCAACGTGCCGCCATCGAGGACCCGAAGAAGACCTCTAAGATTTGGTTGAACCACAAGCTGGTGGCACGACCAAACTATATTACATCGTACGGCATACTAATGTATCGCGAATCAACGGCCAGCGACGATCCGGGCAGCAGGAGGAACAGCGAGAGCGCCGACGAACCTGCCAAGGACAATGGTTGCAGAAACAGCCATGGCRACGTGCCACATCATCGAAAGGAATTCGAGTATTTGCTGGGTTTGATACCCCAGGGCAATGCTTGGACCGTCTTCAAGGGGCTCCCCGAACCCAACGAAACACCGGAAGAAACAGCCGTGCGGGAATTCGAGGAAGAAACCAGCCTTCGGTTTCCGTATCCATTCCCGAACACGGGGAAGAATGTTTTCACGACGAAGCTGTATGGGGTGACCTCGACCAAGAAGCTGCTCCAGATTTACCTGGTTCCTTCTCCGCCGGAACTGGACACCTCTCGGTTCGATGTGGACAAGGTCGTCACCATCGACGGAAGTGGCAGGTTCTCCGGGCTGCCCGAAATCATCGAAATAAGGTTTTTGACCAAGGACAAGGCGATCGAGGGCGTCCGGGGCAAGGGAAACCATAGGATTGCCAAAATCTACAAGTCCCAGATATCAATACTGGAACGAGCTGACAGCATATTGCACCAAGAATAATAAGACGTGACATGCATTTAAAAGTAGTAGAAGTAATGAGAATCCATTAGCACATTACGGTAGTTCATAGGGTGGTGGGCGTTTCTCTACGGTTTCTGCAGATGCATCTTGCTACCACGTTGGTTCGTTGATGATAACATGTGCGTTGAAACGCAAAAAAATCTTTTCGAATATTTTAAAGTCAGCGACAAGGTGTGAAATTTGATTTTTCAGTGCTTGTCGTCTGTGCAAATCATAGATCCAACAACCCGATGGGCTTTGCCGTGATTTGTTCGCTTATTCCTCAGCGGACGCCGTAGGTCCCTGGTAGCGGTATTCTTCCTGGACCCGCACGGTTTCTTGAAGCAGCCGGTTCCGTTTTTGCTTCAGATTCCTGTCGCAGCACTTCATGTAGTTGGCAATGAACAACCGGCACTCGTCCAGTGGATTGTCGCCCGGCTTGGGAAACTCGGGGTTCTCGGGATCGTTCGCGACGGCCTCCGCTGCCTTGGGGTCCAGAGGGCCTACCACGACGTCCGGRAAGTGCGACTTGTGAAAGCCCACCCGCTCCATGTCTCGGGCCTTTTCGGTGGCCTCACGGGAGAGGCATTTGAAGAGTTTCTGGGAGGGCTTYTCGCAGCCCTTGGGCTCCAGCGGAAAGTAGTCCGGCAGCCGGGTCGGGCCCTCGGGAAGGCTGTCCAGGGGATTCCCCAGGCCTATCGCGTTCTTGATCGCGCCCCACACCATGGTTGTCTTGTCGTCTCTCGGGGAAGGGGAGGGGGGGGTGTTGTACCGTTGTTTGGTGTCGCCGCGGTCTCGAGCAGTGCCTTGTTTCAATCCTTGCTAGCGTGGAGGAAAAGTTATTGAGAACGGGATTGAAATCGATCYGAGAAGGACGGACGTTTGATGATGAACAATCGCTGCCTGGTTTCGTTGGTAATTGAATAGAAGTACGAGTACTAGTAGAACGATACATACCCTAAGGGCCGTACGATACGGTATGTCATACCTCTGTCATTATTTTTTTCTTAATCCCGAGGTTTCTCAGTTTCAGTTTCAGTCATGCTCAAAACTTTCAAAACGAGATGCGCTGGCATAATTCTTTACGATTTCCGAAAAATACTAAATTCCCGGAGGCCCCTAGGTGCAACGATCTTCCGATCTACTGTATCATACTAGGATGGCGGTGACTGAACGGTGACACATCATCTGCCGAACCATAAAATTCTCTCCCATCGAAATCATGTCACACGATCCATCAGCAAGTCAGCAAGAAAGGTAGCGACAACGGCCTAACAATAGCAGAGAAGTGCCGACCATATCGTCGAGGRGATGGACACAGCTCAAACATAAAATCAACATAGGTATCCAATTCACAGCCTTGTGCGAGACTTGCAGTACCATCACCAACGGCGTCGACAAAACATCCACTCGAATAAAACGTTTGCGACTTCTCGGCAGTTCCGTTCCGAACCGAAACCTTCCAGATACAACAAACTACTGTAACCAATGAAGCTGATCTCTGTGTGCTTCCACGTCGTGGTTGTATCCAGGATCGGAACCTCGGCGTTCCAAGTCCTTTCGCGAAACACTTGTCGCCGCCAATATGCCTCCACTTCCATTCTATGCGCCAAAGCAAAGAGCAAGAAAAAGGCCTCGAAGCGGGCCGGAGACTTCTGGGAAGCCCGCATGGACGTCTGGCGACCGGACGTGAACGACGTCGAACGAATAAGCTGGGGGAAGCCTGCCAAGAAAAAGGGGACAGGGTCCAGGGGTGTTCCCCACCGCCTCAACCTAGACGAGCGCTTCCTCTTCGACAACGCCCGGAAAAAGGGTTTCCTGGAAACCGAGGGGTCCGGGTGGAGGTCGCAGCGGAGGGAAGCTCCCCTCCTGAATACCTACCGATCGCTGTGCGACGCCAGGGGCCAGGCCTCTATCGTGCTGCACAAGGGAAGCACCGGGGTCGACGAGCTTGTGTGCGACCTCTCGCCCCTGCGGAATCCCGCGACCTTTGACGAGGTGGCCCAAAAGTGCCTAGAACTCAGGGAGGGGGGAGAGGTCGTCTTTCAGGGCAGCGGCACGGACGAGGTGTCGTCATCGAGYGAGGATAGTGAAGACCACGAGGACCTGTCGATGACGCTCCAAATCGTCGACGAAGCGACAACAAGCGAAACCASCAGCAGCGGCAACCRAAACAACGRCAGCAACAGCTCAGACGACGAAACGTCGGGACCCTGGGAAACGAGACCGATCTACCAACTCCCACCGTATTGTATATCGTGGGAACTGCAGCGAAGCGAAGCCAAGGCACTGGGAAAGGCACTCGCCAAGCATTTTTTAACAATGGAGGGGAAAAACAAACAATCCAAAAAGCCGATTGGTATCAAGGCCGGCAAGGGCCGGCGGCACGGCGGCTACGGTATTGGATAAAGCGACAACGTCCGGTGTACGGTAAAACATACTGCTGGTTGAGGTACATATTCAAGACACACAAACGAAGAGCCAACAGTCAAACTAAAGTGTTCCATTTTTGATTATGTCATGGGAACAAATCAGTGAGAAACACCGGAKTGAACACGAAAAAGGACAGCTATTACGAAATTTAAAGTTTAGATCTATCATAGAAAAAATTCAATGGGTGTTTCGAACTTTTGTAGTTGTGTTCATCCGTTCGTCTATCTTCTCGCGACGTATTCGAGGTGCCTCGTGACGGCTCTCGCGATGAACTCCATGGGCAATCCCCTTTTGTTTTGACTGTTTACTGGCACGCTTTCCGCGAGCTCGTACCCAATCCCGACATCGACGAACACTTCCCAGTCCTTTGGATAGCGGCGCAGYACAACGATCTTGGGTGCGGGTGTCTCGTCGCCGCCGCTACCCGATGMGCTCGTGTCCTCGCCTTTTTTCTTTCCGGCCAGTGGCAGCACGCTGTACACCGTCTCCGCTCCCAGGAGTTCTTTCGGAACGGGTCGGAACTGGCAATTCACTAGGATGATTTTCTTCTGGGWGCCGTATTTCGTGGCCAGAGCCCGCACGGCCACCATTTCGTCGTTGCCCCTGGCGTTGAGAATGACGATGTTGTCTTCGTCGTCAGCGGGCAGAGCATTCGCCCGAACGGCACCTACCACCACCGATGGCATGTCTGGTCCCTCAATGACCCTAGCGTTGCCAAAGAGACTCGCGATTCGATATGGTCTGGATATTCGAACAGCTGAATCTTYAGTCGCAGATTCCGGTTCGGAAGGCGCGGCGGTGTATGTAATTTCCTTAGCGGCGGTGCCCGATGGATCGTTCCAATTTGCCAGGAGTTTTTGTCGAAAGTCGTCGCTGTCGGAAGTGGCATCATCATTGGAAAGTTTGTCCCCAACACCGTCTGTCTCTTCGTCTTCATCGTCGTCGTCGTCGGAATCTTCCTGCCCAAAGACAAAATCACCATCGGTTATTTTTGCAAAATTCTCTTTTTCTTGWTCCTCTAGTAGTCTCTCTCTTTCTTTTTCTTCTCTCTCCCTTTYTTCCGCTTTTCTTTGTTCTTCCCGCTCACTCTCCTCACGAGCTTGTAGTACTTTTGTGACMGTTCCAACTGTCATGTCGTCTCTAACCACGATTTCTGTTTTTCCTTTGAAGCAATTGGCAAGGGCTATACAATATTCCACGGCAACAACCTCATCGTACAGATTTACGCCGTCTTGTTTCAGAGATATATCGTAGGCCGGAAGAAGAAGATCTAYGAAGAATATACCGGACATGCCATCGCTTTCCACCAGGTCGTCGTCCGCCGCGGCGTTTGCTCCCGCCGCCCGCAAGATCGACGCGTGGGCTTCCTTTGCTGCGGCCTCGGGGTCGGCTGGGACCCTTCCCATCTTGCTCGTGTTCCAGGAYTCTTCYAGCATTCGTCGCATGCTATCGCCGTCGTCGCTCGCCGTGCTCCACAAACTAGAATCGGGCTGGCGAGGTGCAACAGATAGCTCTATCAGACGGTGACCGTTGTGACGGCTGCGAAATGCGTTGGGACTTTCGAAGCTCGCGACCAGTGACCATGATTGGAAGCCGATGCAAAATAGGAGAAGCAGCGAGGCTGTGTGTATCCGTTTTGTATTGATTGCCATTATCTGTGCTGTCTGTGCTCGATGCAATGATTTTGTAAGATTTGAGAGGTGTTCAAATTGGAGGAAATAATGTTTTTCTTCTTCTCTATGATCTTTCTCATCGTCAACTTGAAATTTGTTCATCCAATCGTCACTGATTTTTGAAGATGAAGTTGTCAACTCGTGAATGTTCGAATTCAATCACTAATAAGAACAGATACTCGTGAACGGCCTAAACTAACGTACTCTATGAGAACGTGAACCTACTTGGCTACAACAAGAATCAAGAATACCTTAATAAGTTGAACAAATTAATAAGTTGAGCAGATTGAACAGAATGGTTGGACAGAGTGATCAAAGCATTCAACGGCTTTGTCAGGTACTCTTAAATTAAAAAAATTGCCTTGATTTTCAGAATCATGTCTTCCACTTCTGTAYAGCTAAGCACACCCTTGCATGATGATTTACATACACCTCTGTCTCTGCCGAAAGCCCCTATTCCCTATTTCGCTTTTTATTGTTATTCGATCGGACACGCTGTCGGCACTGAATCGCTTCTGTCAAAACATTTTCGTACTCTTTGGAACCAGGGATCAAAATATGCCTTTCCGGTGTGTAGAATTTCATTGTTTTCCCTTGTGCTTCGTTTTCTCGTTTGGTCTGCCCAGAAAGGTATTTGTCGCCACCTGAAAGTTCTTTCTCGTAGTCTTCTCTAGAAAGCTTACAGAGCTGATTGATTGCATTTGCCGCGGCGTCAACGCGATCTGGTTTGTCTAACTTCAGCGACACCGGAATAAACATAAATTCTTTGTCCTTACGGAACCAAGACATTTGCTTTTTTGCATACCGCCGGGTAGCGGTTGTGAACTCATTCAAATAAAATTCAAAACCTTCTTTCTCTGCTGTCGTTAGTTTTGACTTGGAGCCTTCCTCTTCTTCTCCCTCTTGTTTATGATCTCGACTCAGATAGTCCAATGTCTGTCGGTATCCAATGGCTCGCTCGGCCATTTCGGGCAGGCATCCCGAAAGGCTCAATTCTGTCGTCTCTTCCAGGAGTCCTTTCATCAGCATTTGTTCGCATCGCTTGTCAACGACACGAGTGTGGCTCATGCGGTCGTCGGGGCACAAAAAGAAACACCGAACATCAAATCCCAACGATGCAAGGTCACCCTCTCGTTGGCCCGAGTAAAGCTGTTCTACCATGTTAGCAACACGAGAACTAGAGTCGCTATCGTCCGCTACTTTCTTTTTTTCTTCTTCGATCGTCAAAGCAATTTCTAGAGTTCTTCGCAATCTATACCAATCGCCATTGGTTAGTTGTTGGGCGCGCTCTGCAAAAACCTTATCGAACGATGCAACGTGCTTCACTGCTCCTTCGTAATCGTTGTCGTTGTCCTGAAATTCCTGAATAGTCTTGTACGAAATTTCAACGGCCTTGGGTGTTGGTCGCATGGCATCGGGTCTTCCACGAACTAGCCACTGGAGGTACATCATCGTGCCACCGCAGACGACGGGCAGAATTTTTTCGATTTCTTTCTCACCCTTGTCGCTATCCAAGTAGCCCTTTTCGATCCGTGCCTCCTGGATGTATTCCTCGATTTCTTTTCGACGATTGGAATCGGCGGCAGGAGTAGTGGCTGTGTCTTCTTGCTCTTGGTTGCAACGGCCCAGCAAAGACTGAATGCAAAAGATGGCATCTTCTCTCCATTCGGCTGCGTTGTAGTTTTCACTGGAGTCGGCCACGTCTATTAGAATGTGCGGCGTCTCTTTCCGTTCCTCTAAGCTGGGTTTGTTGGCCCCGATTTGCACCCCTCGGTAGGCTTGCACAGAATCTGCGCTTATRATCATCCCCCTCTGCTGTGCGCAAATGCGTGCCGCCACATCGCTTTTTCCTGCCGCGGTCGGGCCCGCGATAATCACGACTATGGGGGGCGATTGATCGGCCATTCGTGGGCTTGAGTATGTATTTGCGTCGACAGTTRCGGTAGCAAAGTGACGATTKARASTCCTTGTGCCCCAAGCTATTCTTGAAAAGGAGTGAGAYAATCGAACAGACATGCAGAGCAAGAAGAAGCAAGCAGGGAAAATTGGGATCGGGGGCCTTGAGTGCAGTGTTACAAACAGTCTCGACGGTTTCATCAAACCGTATTGCTGTTTCACCACTYGGATGAAACTTTATGAATCGAAGGAATCAACAACCGATGGTCCTATGCATGGGTACCAAACCTCGTACTTTCCATTTTCCCATTTCGGTTATTGTACCGTTCGAATGAGTTACAGTATTTACGATTGCTGTAGTGAAAAGTTCGAAAGAAAATAGAATGAACAAGTCTGTCGGACGGAGAATTATGATGTGAAAGATTTTTTGGCAGSCACGGTTGATTTTGAGACGCTGATAACTGGACATACGGACAGACTATCACCTTTAGTACGAGGACGTATGATACGTRGTGAATAGACTACAGCAGCCACGGACCAAACTACAGGAAGTTATTACTAAGTAGAAGTACTATTTGGATGGATGAACATGGAATACTATTAGTTGCTGAATGCTTCCTCATGCAAAGTTGTATAAATAATGGCTTATGTTGATGATGGTTGGGTTATCCTGCTGTTGCTGTAGTAGTAATGATTTCATCATTCTTCTTGTCACCACTTCTCCAAGAAGAACAACTAATTGTTGCTCACTTGTGGTGAAGAGCGGAAAGCTTCTGGTGCAGCAGACAAGATGAACCTTTGCAGATTGCATTGAATAGAATTAGTTCCAACACTGTATGCACGAAAACCTGAAGTGCAATCTGCGTCAAACTTTTATATGATCTGATCTGATCTCTTACTCGCATGAACGACCACAAGTAGAATTGTACCCTGCCATCTCTTCCTGTTTACATTCTCTTATTGGTACTCTTGAAGAAAAAACGTGAACAGCACGATTGCAACAAGATTCTGTACAGAGGTAGGGAACATCAAACAGAAATTCAGCAAGAAGGCCCCTACTAGAAACATGATAACCATCGACTTTCCACCATAGACCGGCCATAACGCAATGTGAAAAGCAATTCCTGATACAAATATCAGTAAAATCGCTGCATGAGTCAACTGCGGAACCGCTTTGTAGCTAACTTCTTTTTTTTGTATTTTTCCCGTGTACAATTCAACATATGCCTTGATCGAAAATAATGCTGTTGATTTTAAAACAAATAAATGCAGTTGGGCGAGAGTCAGTAATGGATAGAGGAGTTGTGCTGTCGACCACAATTTGTGCTACAAAGATTGACCCGGCAAGAAAAAATCACGGAACTCACCAATACTAGCAGCGAGTCCAATTTTGAACCACTCGTGGCTAACGTCAGGCGAGTGCATAATCGTATGATATATATTGAAACGATCAAATAGTACGTAGAAAGAAAAACTCATCCATAGTATTCTCGGCACAAAGTTGATGGGGTTCCATCGTGAGTTTTGATTCGGACCATCGGAGTATGGATTGACTGGCTTATTTGCTCTTCGCGGAACAGATGATTCGACGTCGGTCATTGTTGTACAACTGAAAACGTTAATGCAAGTGGTTTGAATAGAGAAATCTATTGATAGAGCGCTCTTTGGGTATTAAAAGAAGCCGTCACGAGCGATCGAATACTGTATGATGTCTTGTCTCTTTGATCACCTTGTTGATGAAACAATGACAGATGGCAACAGCTATCGGGACACGACCTCAAGGGGAGAGAGAAAGAGAGAGAGAGATTTCTGATGAAATCTCAAAAAAACAATCCTCAATTCGTGCTCAGATCGTACGTACTCGCATCTTACGATTGTACGTACAGTACTACAGTATGTACCGTCCTGCTGTAATTATCGCTCTTCGCACGAGTGAGATCAAAAACCAGGCGTACCGTACGATGTACCTACAAAACGATATCCTAATCCTTGATCTTGCGAACCCTAATATGGAAGTTTCTTCCGGATTATTTTCAACGAGGGTAGTTGACTCATTTGACTAAAACCAATCCCGTGAGGTGTACAGAGTCAGGAACCAAAAACGCGTACGTACCACGATGGAACAGCTCGCTTTAGATCTGATCATGCATCATTCTCAGATTCATTTATCGATCGTTTTAACGTGTCACCCTACGTTATGGCGTTGGCGAGTTCAGATTCAGCCCAGACACGTGATGACACAAMMATACCAYTGCGAACACAWAATAATCGAACCAAACATCCACCATGAAGTTTTCGCTCGCATCCATCGCCGCTATCGCATCGTGCGCCTCGGTCGTCTCTGCCTTCACCGTACAGGGTCCTAGCCGTTCCTCCGTTGTCCTGCAGGCTTCCCGCAAGGCGCAGAAAATTGCYAGCCGCACYGCTTGGGCCGAGAGYCGCGGTTTCGATGGTTCCGTTGCRACCGCGACCGCCCCTGCCGAAGCTGGCTTGATGAAGAACGACGAAGGTCTCGAGTTCGTTCGTCTTGTCTCCGCCTCGGGTGCCTCTTCCGAAATCTACTTGTACGGTGGTGTCGTCACATCCTTCAAGGATGCTGAGGGAACCGAATTCATTGCCGTCCGACCGGACGCCAAGATGGACGGATCCAAGCCCATCTCTGGAGGTCTTTCCCACTGCTGGCCGCAGGTAAGGATAGTTGCCGGTTGTTTTGTAAGCGCGGTTCGTCGGAAATCTCTGCTTGATTCTTTGCTGTTCTCACACATCTATTAAATTCATGTCACTGCTGCAGTTCGGACCCGGTGAGATCCAACAACATGGATTCGCCCGCAATGTGAACTGGTCGGTAGTCTCCCAGACCGACACTACCGTCGAGCTCGAAATGTTGCCTTCGGACTACACCAAGGAAATGTGGGACAAGGAATTCGCTTGCCGATTCACCGTTGAATTGGGCGACGACGAGCTCAAGACCAACATGTCTGTAAAGAACACCGGATCCGACGACGCTTTCGAYTTCCAGGCCGCCCTTCACTCCTACTTCACCGTCTCTGCTTTGGAGAACCTCGAAATCACTGGATCCTTCGAGGGCAAGGAATTCTTGAACAAGCTTGCCGGTGACGGTGGCGAGATGCAGACCGAAGAACGCAGCTCCATCACCATTACGGAAGAATACGACCGTGTCTACAAGGGTGTGAACGATCCAGTCCTCAAGGACACCGGAAGCGGCAAGGCYCTGAACGTCGTTAACGAAGCCGGATGGGAAGACACCGTCTTGTGGAATCCCTACGGAGACGAGGGCATGGGATTCAACAACTTTGTTTGCGTGGAATCCGTYAAGTTCGACCCCGTCACTCTGGACGCTGGCGCATCGTGGGACGGTGTTCTTGTCTTGAAGCCAGAGAGCCTCTAAACTAGAAATCACTTCAAAGCGAAAAAGTGAAATAAAAAATAGAATTGGAATTGATTTTTTGGGTATTTTGTAATTAACATTGAAAATCAAAATCTTCTTTGTTAAAATTCCGCAAGGGAAATGGTAGCAAGTTTTCTATTTATCAGAATYGGATAGTAAGGGAATCCAATGGCATATCGCTGCATTTCAAAAGTGATCTCATCGAAACAGCACGATGTGACTCAATCGCATTTGCCTCCTCAAATCGACTGTCTTCGTCTGACGTGAGTATTCCTTTTCGCAACACATTGATTGTTGTGTTCTTGTGTTTAACCGAGATCGSGAGCGAGGGATACCTCTGAAAAAAATCCTGGGCGACGATCATTGTCTTACAAAACACCGGCATCCCTGGCAATCGACTGGGCTTCGCTGTACTTGCCGAGGCAGTAGAGGACTCCGAACATGTACACGAAAATMGAGTTGGGATTCCTCCACGGCGTCATGTACACAAGGAACAATCCGAACCCACTCCTCTCCTCTTTTTCCGTCTTCTCCTCGACAGTTTTTTTCTTCTTTGCGTTCAATATCGATAGGGGTTCCGCTCGGTTCGACAATTGATTCGAAGGAACTCTTGCTGCTGATGGGCTTCTCTTGATCGCTCTCGACCCGACCTCGAAGGATTCAATCCCCTGGATCGAAAGGAGGAGAAGGCACAAGACCGGTAGGAACGCTCGAATGTTCTTGTTTAGGGAAAACATGATGCGAAGTGTGATTGTGTTGATCTGCTGCTCTAGAATTTGTGCAAGTATGAGTACGAGCACTGTTGTGTTGCACCTATCGTTCGTCGTTAGAATTAACCCCCTGCGTTTGTTTTGGCTCGTACAGAGCAGTATTGGAAGCATGAATGAGGCTGTAACTCTGAGACTGATTTATTCAGTACATACGTACTCGTACTCTTACTACTTGGAAGTACGTACTTTATGTGCAGACAGCCATGCTGCATGCAGGCGCTAGGTCTGCTGTCTGCTAGTAGCTAGTACCGTACGAAAGTAGGGTACATATTGGTTGATTGATTCGTATGTATGAATCGGTTGCCCTACGTGTAAACTGTTGTACCGTGTCGTGTCGGACGATTGACGCAAAAACCTAGCACAGACTCTACGGGTCCCAGTAAAACACTCGCCTGTACGTACGACTCCGAGAATGCGTTAACGGTTATCGTAGTGGTATGGTACCGGCCGGTACAGTACAGTACCTTTTGTACACGACAAGAGCTCTACAGTTTGTGTGAAGGCCTTTTTTTGAATCTTGCAATAAACAAATGTTCGAAAAAAATAATACTCGATCGATGATTCCCGCCTCAACGTTCGAAGCTGTCCGGTAGGATGATGCAGATACTAAAAAAGTATCAAAACGTGTGCAAATGCAGGTCGCGCGAGGAGCTACCTCCGGTACGTATTTTTACAATCACTAATTRAAAAGGATGACATCGTAATTCTCACTTCAATCGCAGAAAAGAAATAGTTCTTCCTTCTGTTGTTTCTGCCGTACTGGAAGTAGAACCAACGATGTTCTATGGTTTTCTAGGTCGACAGTATGTAGTTGTCGTACWTTCTACGACGACAGGGAGATGGTTTGTTGGATGTCTTCCGTTCCACACTTCAAGAATTTCTATCGAAACTGCCCTCCACGCCACAGCTTTATTACTACCCGTTAGCGAAGCACGAAAGTCTATCGGATAATCARCCCGACCGCACAACACACAGCCAGTACAGCACGATACCCGACCCCGAAACAGCAAACCACCACCATGACCGATTTCATCGAAGAACAAGACGCGGTTCACGCCATCAAGAAGTTAATGTCGGGGTTTTGCAGCCCTCGCAAGGGCCTCTCCGCTGCGCCGAGCTACGAGGAAGACGATGCCGAAGCAACAAACAAGTACGCTCCGGACCTGGCTCCCCAGACCCCGTCCAAGCAGGGAGTTTTGGAAACCCCTCCCGCGACCCCGGAATCCGAGGACATCGCCCAAAAGGAAGACGAGACCGAGGTAGTCCCCGAGGAAAAGCCCGAAGAACCGGACCAGCCTGCTCCCGCTGAAACCGAGGAAACGCCGCCGGCACCGACGCCTACCGATGATTCCGAGGCGCCCAAGAAAGCGACCGAGATCCAAAAGGCACGCGGCCCCGAGAATTTCATCCTGAAGTGTATATTCCTCCTGGTCACGGTGCTCGCCCTCAAGAAGCTCGGGTTCACGACGTCGGACCTCGATCTGGGGGCTCTGGTGGGCGGTGGCAACGGCTCGAGCCCGTCGTGGATCGAGGTCGTCGACAAACAAGAGTCYGTCGGGGAAACGATCGCCAAAGAGGTCCCRGTACCACCGGAATCCGAGGAAGAACCCGTGGTTGCCGAAGCCGTCGAACAGGAAGAGGTCGTCGCAACGGAGGAAACTTATGGCGGGAGCCCCACCGAGGCAACCACCGACGCAACCACCGAAGCAACCACCGAAGGCGAATTGTAAGGACGGAGTACAGCAAGCAAAACCAGACAACAGGGGTTGTCGTTCCGATATCCGTTCCATGTAATATCTATGTATGTGTGCCATAAAACCAGCCAGCAGTATCCGATTTAGAWGAGGCCACCAAGGAAAGCCAAGCTACGCTACGAAAAACCCTCCACGGAACTAGGTGCAAATCGAGTTGTAGGGAAGAAAAAAGAACACTTTAGGTCAGACGAAAATTTAATGTTGGGTAACTGGGGCCGTCGTTTAAAGAATTTACGCATTGCTATACCCGAGTATTGACTCCTACACGACAATACTAAAATAAAAAATCGCCGCGAGTGACTTCTTTTCAGATCTAATTTCTGCATTACCGAAACCCGAAAAACTATTCAGTCAGTGCGAAAACTATATCAGTGCATGCATGTCTATCTTACGCGTTGGCACAACTCATTCGATCGACACACCTCGTACCAAAAGTGTTGCAGGGCGATGGATTTGTGTGCAGTGATGGGAAAACACCGCACGGCAAGCTCTTTGTTTCTTTCGTCGTTTGTCCGTGGTTTGCCGAAGGGAGTCCGTTCCCCGGGACCACCGGTTCCGTCACCCGCTCCGGCATCCCTGGAGGAGCACCGCAGCGGCGCCCAGCGGACCGATCGCCGGCAGTAGGGCCGCCCACAGGATCCGCACGCAGCAGCGCGCGTCGGCCGCTAGGGCACCGTGCGTCCCGCCCCCCGGGTGGTTGAGGCGCTCCGCCTCCCGCTCGGCCCGGGCGGCAAAGACGCGGCAGTTGTTGGAATACAGGTTCATCCCCGTGTCGTACGACTCGGCAAACCGGACCAGGCGCTCCATCCTTTCGGAGGGCAGATTCCGGTCGCCACCCCGGTGGATGCCCGTGCTAGTGCCCGTGCGAGTGCCCAGCACCCGGATCCGGACCTCTCCCTCGATGGTGCCACCGAAGAAGACCTTCCACCGGGTCGCGTCGTCGTACCACACCGGATGGGCTGCGCCACCCTTGGTCATGAAATCCATCCGCAGGGTGGTCGTTGTCTCCGGGCGGGAGTTCGTTCTCCCTGGATCGGCCCCGCTGTCGCACGGTGTTTGTGCGCGTTTCGGCGGTGGGACGGACGTCACTAGYACGGCTTGGTGGGTGTCTTTTAGCATCCATCCCAGCGGTCCCTTCGGAAGAGGCGTCGGAAAGGGGTAAAAGCCTTGCACCCGGCATTTCAGACGAGAGTCGTCGTCCCCTTCCAAGGCAGGAGTATCAATCGATGATGATTCTGCGGCACCATTCCCAACGGGTTCGTCGCCGGAAGCTCTTGTCCCCGCAGCGCTCCCGCCGGGGTTTGTGGGTTGTGTCGAGCCAACAACGATCCTAGTTCCCGCTTTGCGCCCAGAAGCAGGAAAGGCCCTGGATCCACGAAAGGCATCGGTGCCGAGGACTGACCACAGAATCACAACCCAACCGAACCAGTACCGGTGCACCGCCGTTGTGACGGCCGCCAYCCCCATGGTGCTCGAGCCCGCGCTGCTCTTTGTCGGTGGCACCCGTTGCCCGTTGCCTGGCTGGATTCCGCCGTTCGGAGCTTTTGTTCTATGACGAGACGATCGTCCCCTTCCGTCAAGCGAGGATAACCTGCAAGGGTTTCGCCCTTCTCTCGGTGGACTCTATCTCAAGTTCGGTTCTAGCTATGGGAACGGCAACGACAACGRCARCGACAACGACAACGACAACAACGCAACACACCGAAGTCTCGTAGCTCGGCAGCAAGCACATTGGTTGTTGCGCAGATACGGTGGAGTGGACCCTCTCAAWATTACTGTAGGGTTAGGATTTAGAATCGGGTTTTTTAGAGATATCCCGCGCCATGCTTTCGAATCGAAGAAGTTTCGTATGGTGCGGTACGAGTTTACGAGTAGCATCGGAGTTGGATAGTCGTGCCGTACGTACGTACGTACGTACCATCGTACTGTGATAGAAAAGGTACCGTAMGGTACGATACGTGCGTAAACGTATTGTGTGGGGAGTTTTTCTTCCAAAATTGATGCCAACGTCAATCACAATCGCATCGCAGCCTTCGGTCCAATGATTTTTGGAAGAAGAATCCTATCTTGGTTCCAATAGGCCACCGGTCCAACCAAGACCGCTTCGCTGTAGCGCACCGTCTCAGAGCTCGCTGCCTTACGTAGGGCAACCAAGAATGAATCCGCCCCGTTGCTGTTACTGCGAACAAGCTGCGTCGTTCCGATCCCCACCGGTGCCGTTCGAAACCTCGTCCTTGGCGCTGCATCCGGATCCGTGTCCGATTTGGCAGATTCTTGCATTGCATTGCAGCCGCATCCATAAATACGTTTCACTCCAGTGTAAAATCAATCTGGCCCTTTGAAATCACTGTTTGCAGTTTTCTGYGTCGCTCAAGCCCGTTCACCAAACACCAAGCACAACAAGGCAAAGAATCTTTTCCAAAAATGAAAGTTTCGGATTCGTATCCTCCAACTTGTCGGAGCAGTAGAGAGCTGGAGATGATGGCGACTGCCTTGTTCTTCGAGTGGTGGGAACAGCGAGAGGAGGATGAAGAATTCCTATTCAACACCGATATCCTTCAAAAACTCATGCCATTTTGCCCGTCGTTGCCGGAGGAAGAAGTACGCAATGAGGTCACTCGCCAATTGGTTCTGGACAGCGTCCACCGCCACAAGATGTTTCAGACCCCAGACCGAAGCCTCTCACTGCTGCAAATCTACAGGGCCTATCTGGATGCAAACAAGAACAAATCGCCTCTGCCAAAGCTGGAAGTAGCAGAGATTAAAAAATTGGCGGCTGCCTTCTACCTTCATAGCAAGGAATCRCGAATCTGGAAGGGTGGGCACATCAATTTTAGGTTGGATGTCATCTACAAACTCATGCCGTTCCTCCCGTCATCGACTTTGGAAGAAGTAGAGAAACTGGTAACCTACAGATCGGTTTTTGGCCAAGTGCGACAACTCAGAAAAGATGAAGTGAAGATAGAAGAGCTGATGGAAAAATACTCCGGGTTCCTCCATTGAACGCACACCGTATTTCGGAGATCGGATCGATTGCGGCAAGGAAGAGATTTGTAACTGAAGGGAAACAATCACAACGAAGACAAAACAAGGCAAAAAGTAGCGTAACGACCTATCTGATCTGACCAAAGACGAGTAAGTTTGCGACTATGGACTCGTGGCCGCACCATCGGGGAAATGAATAAATTACAACTGCGTGCGAACTAACACTGCATACATTCTTGTTTTGTTTGTAATGAGCCAGAATACAGTTTCGACGGCCGAAGATCCAAGAGACCGTACAGAAGGAAAACTAATCTGCAAGAAAATGCACCGGCCTAGCACCCATCGAAACTAAATTAGTTGATGAGAATATTRCATGATTGATCGTAGAAATCATAAAGAAGTCATCAAGCTTTGAAACATGGTATTGCTCGGTTTTAAATTTCTCGGCACTTTTCAAACAAGGATTGTTTCTTGTTTTTTGAGCGATTTGTTTGTTTGTTTTCGTATTCCGCAAGGGCACCTAGAGCGCCTCATTCCGAAGCTTTGCAATGGCGGTGGCAATCTCCGCGCCGACCCTGGCGTTCTGCCGGACCAGCGCCATGTTGCTCCGCAGGCTGTCTCCCCCGGTCGTATCGGCGACCGTCTTGAGCACGAACGGCGTCACGTCCCGGCCGCGGACTCCTAGGGTTTCCGCGGACTCCAGGGCACCCTTGATCGCCCGCTCGACGCTCTCCCCGGCGGGATCGTGGTTGGGCACCCCTACCAGCATGCCCTGGGGCAGCTCCAGCCGCCGCGCGGCCCAGTAGGCGTGCGCCACCTCCTCAGGGGCATCGGCACGGGCCGGGCAGGGGATCCCCGATGCCGGTGAAAAAAAGGCCGGGAACTCGTCCGTTTGCCAGCCCAGCGCCGGGACGCTGTTGGTCTCCAGAACCTCGAGGGTCCGGCCAATGTCCAGTATCGACTTGATTCCGGCGCTGACCACTACCACCGGGGTCTGCCCCAGCTCGGTCAGGTCCGAGGAGACGTCCATGCTGTCTTCTCCCCCCCGGTGAACCCCCCCGATGCCGCCCGTGACAAAGGTTTCGATCCCCGCCAGGTGGGCCAGTCTCATGGTCGAGGCCACGGTAGTGGCACCCCACTGCGGCTCGGTTGGTGGGTCCGCGGCGGCGGCCGCCATCCCCAGGACCAGAGGGAGGTCCCGCGTCGAGCACTTCTGCGCCCGTCCCTCTCCCCCCGCCCTCGCCAGGTCCTCGAGCTCCTCCCCGGAAATCCCGATCCGGCACACGCCGTTCCGGACGGCGATGGTGGCCGGGACCACTCCGCGGTCCTCCAGRATGCCCTCCACCTCCCGGGCCAGCTCGAGGTTTTCCGGATATGGCATGCCGTGGGCCACGATGGTGCTCTCCAGAGCGCAGACCGGCCGGCCCTCGGACAGGGCCGACTCCACCTTGTCCTGGACGCTGAGCATACCGCCACGCGAAGAACTCCACCGCCGGGCGCTTCCGACAACCCGGCTGCCGGCGTCGAGAAAGGCAGCAGCACTGCCAGCGTGTCGTCCCCTGTGCAGCTGTCGGCGGCACCGGCGGACTCCGTAGCCTGCCATCGCTTCGATTCGGTGTGGGAGCACCGCAAGCCTGCTCGTATTCGTGATCATGGTGGTGGTTGGAAGATTGCGAGACGACCCAAATGCTACGGTAGCAAGCTGCAGTATATGCTCGAAACGGTTACACCTTGCGTTGTTTTTGTTGGTTCCACACTATCTGCGGTCTGGTTCTGGTTGGCGTGTTTTGTGACATCGGAACAGGATGGGAGAATTTGTTTGGCATCGCATCGCATCGCACGTTCTACGCACTACCAAGAGAAATTCCGATGGCGCGCCTCATCAATCATCCACATTCGATGAAGAACAGACTTAGTGTTTACTTTTCAGAATCTCGGTTGTATCTTCAAACATTTCTAGGAAACGAAACTTCAAAATGAACCTGCCAAGAAAAATTCAAAATGAGAAATTCAAAATGAGAAATTTGTTGACTAGAAAACGAACACCAGCTGATAAAACAATCATATACTACAGCACACCATGTTTTTGATGAAAGGCATTTCATCTTTGCTACTCTTTGTCTCGGGATGCAGGCAATACCAATGCAGTGACCAATGCTTTCGAGGAAGAAAGTCGCAGCTTTCGAGCTACGGAAGCACGGTGATGTACAGTGGGGCGTCGGGGGAGGACACGGTGGCGACGATCGAGGTCTGCGTGTCACCGGGGTGCGTTGCCGACGGGGCGGACGAGGCGCTGCTGAAACTGCAGGCCTTGTCCGCAACGTCGTCCTCGGAAGCACCGCCCGCGAGGGTGGTCAGCGGCGTCTGCTGTTCGCTGTGCGGAAACGGACCGGTGGCAAGGGAGAACGCCGGCGGCAAGTCCAAGAACCACCGCAAGCTGAACACGAATCAAAAGCTGCTGGACCTGTTGTCTCTGGGGGACGAGGCCGATCTGGAACCGAGGCAACGGGCCGTCCTCGAGGGGATCGATCTCTGTCTCGAGGGGAACAAGGCCCTGTCGAAAAAGAAGTATCCGGAGGCCCTCGAGAAGTACGCCCTGGGCATCGAGAGGGGAAGAGACGCCGCGATGGAGCTGCAGGTGGAAATCGGTAAGGAAGCCAATCCCAACCACGGCGACGACGGCGCTGCCTCCCTCCAGTGGCTGGTACAGGCGCTGTGCAACGAGGCCACGGCGAAACTCGAGACCAGAGACTTCAACGGCGCCATTGCCTCGGCCGAGCAAGCCGTCGAGGCCTCGTCGTCGTCTTCCGTCGAGGCCCTCGAGGTGCTGCAGCGCGCCTACCAAGAAACCAMGGGGAAAGACTCCAAAGAACTCGTCGTACTCGAGTCTCTCTTTGCCCTGTACCARGCGGAGGAAGAACAACCTAGGGCTAAGAGAAAAAAGGTGACCCCCATGGAGGCCAACCGGCGCCGGACACTGGGATTTCGGTTGGCCAAGCTCAAAGCGGCAGCATGAAAGGATGGAAGCAGCACCATCAACACAAATGTTGCGATCGAACGACAAACAGAGAGATAAATTCTAGAAGGGAATCGAAAAAAGGCTAGATGACGGGTTCTTTTATAATATAATTTAATCTAGTGCGATTTGATCAGAATCGAGCTTTGAACTAGGATGAAAACAACCCCAGATAGATTTTGCAGATTTTTATACCACAACGACGATGAGTGACTCGTCGTTTTGTACCTACATTTCCATTGGATCTCCCTTGGGGCTGTCTTTCGCATCGCCGCTGTTCGATACTGTTTTGATGCCCGCGGATTCCTTCCATTGAGTGACGTGGGTTTCGGGTAGGAGGCCCAACAAGCGCTCGTACTGTTCCTTGATCGGGCCGAACTTCGTTTCCTGGTTTCCGTCTGTCTTCTCCCAAAGCGCTGACAATTTGCGATGTGGTGCAGCCTCTGTTGCGTTCACCACTTCTAGCACATCGGTTGCAACCTTTAGGAGCAAATCCCTCGGCATGAGAATGTTCCCGAAACTGCTCGCCCATTCGTTGAGGAGCATGRCTAGATATTCGTGGGCCGCCGAATCCATCGATCCGACCTCCGATGACTCGTCCTCGTTCGGCGTTTTGAGCCAGTCCAGCCACGTCGAAATAATGACGTCGCGGACCGCCTTGTTCAGCCGCGCTTTGTGCCGCAGTATGACGGGGACGAGGCTTTTGAAAAATGCCGTCTCGTTGCAAACGCTCCCGTGCGCAAGTGTGCAAAAGGTTTTTGAGAACTTGGCAAAGCTTATGGACAGCGAAACGTCTTGTGAGTTCCCGGGCAAACACACGTTGATAAATGCTCCTTCCAGGAGCGCCATTGCAATTTGTGGGAGAGGGGAGTTGTCGTTGCCGGTGGGTACCCGAGGCGGTTCGGAACGGGGCAAGGCAGAGTTTGCAACAGTGTGCAAATCACCACCAATAGCGAGGCGTTTGTCGAGGTCGGCATCTCTCAGCAGGTGGACGATGATRGGTAGATATTGTCGAAGGGAGGTGTGAGGAAGAGTGCTTTCGATGGCATCTATCGTCTTGGGCAGCTCCAAACCGGTGTCGAAAATAATGAATTGCCTACCACGGTAGGCGCAAAATTGGGGCGACCACTGCGCTAAATACAAGAGTTGCATGACAGATGGAATGACTCGGTGCTCGGCCGGTATACCAGAGCCCCTGGCGGTGTCGATTCGAATCGAGCGCAGCACACGATCCAACAAGATTCGAACCACAAAGGGATCCGCCAGGATCATCGATGCCAGAGCAACCATAGAAAGATTTTGTTCCTGGGGATTGATCTTGCGTTTCTTTCTCCCCGATTCCAGGGGCTTGATCTTTGGTCTGTTTTTCTCCTCCTCTTCCTCGCGTTTGCGTTTTAGTGCCGCCAGGTCTTCGTCGGGATTACGTTTTTGTTGCTCGACTTTGAACAAGTTCTTTGCTTTCGGTAGAATCTCGTCGTTGAAAATCTTGAGCTGCCTCTTGGCCTCCCCGCGGAACCATTGTCCGGTGGGTCCACGATTATAATTCACGCAATTTCGAAACATGAGGCGCACGTCGTCCTCCCATTGTTTGACGTCGTGGTATTGGTTATTTTCGATCTTATTTTCCATTGTGACAATGCTCATTGGTTTCTTGATGAGGTCGCTGTAGCCCGGTGCAATCGCATCTGTAACYGGATTTAAAAAGAGGGTTTGCGGGTCGGAATCTTTCATCTCCGTAAGTCCGGCTGTAATGATTTGGTTCAGCTGCCGAATAAGGGATTTATTTGGCGCACTTTTGTTCTTGGCAGGTGCATTCTCGGAACCACCACCGCTAGCTCCTACCTTTTTCTCGTTTTCTCCATCCTTCTCCATCGTAGGTTCCGCTTTGTATATGGAGCGCAATGCTTCTTGGACCTTGATCAAATCCTTATCGGTCAATATTCCGTTTTTTACGGCATCATCCAAAACACGGGCAAGGCTGTGGACGTGAACAAATTGTTTGGGAAGGGGACCACCCGTCGATAACAAAATATCGGTGACCAGAGTGCAGTGCAAATGAACCGAACCCGCCAAGAGCCCGTGCAGTGTGCCCGTGGTAGCAATGGATGCTCTCGCACCGTGTTGCGCCATCAGAATAGACAAGACTGCGTGTAACAGATTCGGTCGATAGGAAGCAGCACCCCTGGACAGGTCACTGAGCATGTTTCGGATTTGCGACACCGATTTTCCAGCCTGTGCTAGCGATTCGGAGGTCTTGCTGTTGTTATTTGTCGTTGTGGAAGATGATTTGTTCAAGAGAGAAGATGCTCCTCCGGATCGGTTAGGTGAATTCGAACTCGTCGTGACAGAAACTGAGTTGGTCAGGGCCCGCCTCGCCGATGTAAGCACTCGTCTCTCGGTTACCGAATTCACAAAAAAATTCCCCGACGTTTCAACTAGCAATGGTACGGAGGTATATGTGTCAATGAGTGGCTGAACGGTTTCGTAAAGCAGAGTTGATTCGACCATTTGCAGGTACTTCTTGGATTTGACATCGGCACTGTTCTCTCTCGCAATAGGAACCTTGTCCGCCCAATCCGCCTCCCATACTAGTCGCTTCAATAGGGGTGGAAGAGGACGAAATATTTCAATATGCTTCAATTTTCCGGTCTTTTTCTCCCGTTCTGCCAGGGCTTTCAGCACCGCTAGSGGAGTTTTGGCACCCAGTTGTTTGAGGACGGCCCACAAGATAGGCCGGAATTCCGCATTGGAGACGGCGTACGACCAGCAGTTCTTCAACAAATGCAATAACGCACCCTCCGACGTAACTTTCCGCAGTTCGTTTTCCAATTCTTTTTGAAGTGCGTCGCCGATGCGTTTGTGAACGAGATACTGTGAAACTCCCATGTGTCCAAGAAATTTTAAGACGGAATCGGTGTCCAGCGATTCGACGTTTGCTGCATTGCTGCCACTGCTGCTGTTGTTGTTGAGTTCATCTACTTCGTACTGAGGGGTAGTTCCGAAGGCCTTGGCAAACATGGAATGGAGAGAGCGAGTCTTCTGGTAGCTGGCGATCGTCTCGGCGGGATCTTTGGATTTCGTTAGAGCCTTCCTGACGTCGCTCCCGGCCTTGAGGCCGATAGAAAATATTGGAGTCTTTTTGTTTTTGGAAGCCATCACAAACTGATAATAAGTACATTCAACAAACTGGCAATATATTTCAAAGCTCCTCTTTAGTCTAGCTTGAGTGGTTAACGATAATGTTTTGATGGTTTTACCTCATTGGGTGTTTCATGCTCGTAGATGTTTCGAAAAATGATGCCGTCCGTTAACGCTGTTGTTGATCATCATGATTATGGATCGTAACGTACGTACTACGAACTGCGTACTTGGTACACGTAGGACTAAACCAACGATACGGATACGGATTTCACACTTCACGGTATTCGTATCTCTTTTGTTGGTCTGTAGACGACAAGTTCGTGCTACTACTACTCCCTGTAGTCTGTGTACTTGAGTACCGTAAGTAGTCATAAACCCCTATGGGTATGAACGTACCTGTCTGGGTATGAACGTACTTGTTTGGGTATGAACGTACCTAATTGGGTATGAACGTACCCGTCTGGATATGAACGTACCGATCTGGGTATGAACGTACCTGTTTGGGTATGAACATACCTGTCTGAATATGAACGTACTGATCTGGGTATGAACGTACCTGTTTGGGTATGAACGTACCTAATTGGGTATGAACGTACCCGTCTGGGTATGAACGTACCTGTTTGGGTATGAATGTACCTGTCTGA